CACAGTGAACAGTTGGATAAACAAGTGCACACGGCATGAGAAACATTGATAGAAGATACATACTCAACTAAAAACTGCATTTCTGGAAAAAAAATCGATTCCACAATTTGCCATCAGAAATACTCAGGAGAGGGAGATACTCAAGGCGAGAAGTTTTATTTCAAGTTTTCAAGTTCCAAAGTTTTATACAAAAGACTAAACTGTACACAGTACAGAATTATGTGTGTAGTTACATTTATCCCTCTGGTGCCTAATATTTTTCTCAAAAAGAAATGGCTTTCAATCGTTGCTTATACTGTATAAGTACAAATTTTCGTTCACGAAATCTTTCGTTATTTCACTCCACCAGCCAGCGTGTTACGTACTAACTTTCGTTTTTGGTCGAGGTCTGTCACCCCGAACGTTCAGATCTTCTTTTTTTTTGGAACAAACTTTAGTTATTTCGCGCTCCCTATATAACGAATATAGCGAAAGTTAATAATATTATTATTATTAGTTTGTCTCTTTCCCTCAAACCAGTTAATTATTATTATTATTAATTCCAAACGAAAATTTGTACTTATACAGTAGACAGAGATAATTATATCAGGTTAAGATTGATTCAAGAAGCGGAAATGCAGTACTGTAGCCGGAAAGCCCTAAAAGGGAATGCACGCTGGCACAGACATGGAAAAGTCACTTTGAAACCATCTCTGCGCACCCATGCACTCCCAAAAAGGTTGTCAGGTGTCACATACCACAATAATATATAGCAAATATGGCACAAGCACAGCACATGTACTTCACACAGAGCAGATCGGCAGATGCAATGATTGTCATGTATCCCTAGGTGCCGAACAATCTGTACCAGAAGCACTTCAGCCCTACTGGGAAAGCACTTTGCCTGTCACCATTGCCACACACACCCCTAGCAAGCATGCACTGACATGAGAAGCAGAGAGCTAGAGAGTTGATCACCAAGTGAAAGTCAACTGCCCCCACAGGGACCATTACGAACAAACACATGCATCACCAGTCAATCATCATTACTGCAACCGGGTTTGTTGACACTGACCTACTCACTAAAACTGCTTACCATATTCACTAGAATGAGCACTGAAACTGACCCTGTAAGGCTGTAAGCTCACACAAGGCCTCACCCCCTGTCGAAATACATAGTGATCGCTTTGACAAATGCCCCCCCCCCCCCCCCCCCCCTGTCAATACGAACACAAGCCCCCCCCCCCCTCCCTTTCAAAATGCATACAGTGATCGCTTATTCACAAGTACCACCCCCCCCCCCCCCTCCGTCGAAATGCATACAGCGGGACCTAAAAAGTCTGGACACCTTCAGGACCGAGCTGAGTGGTTGTATTTTCCAAGGCGATCCTGTGTAGTTTGAATGTATTCTTATGCCATGGGGAGCATTGTGTGGGAGCGAGAAACTTAGTTGCATTTCCGTGGAGGAGCAGTCGGGTCCGTGGAAGTGAGGAAGTCGGAGGCCCGAGGTTCGGTTGTACACTAGTTATTAAAAGGACTTTCGTGACATACAACATAAGTACAACAAGCCCCAAGAGTGTGCAACTGCCTGCACAACCTCTACTCTATACAGTGCTGTATACGACGGCAGAACTTCACATCACGTGACATGGTTCAGCAGTGTTGCGATTCAACTTGCGAATGAGTACAGGTTCGTCAGGTGATGCGAAGTTTGGCCGTCGCAGATGCCCTAGCTGGAGTTGCACACTCTTGGGAGTTACCGATATCAAGAGTACATAACCCCCGGGGTTATGTACTCTTGCCGGTATGTACGAGGTGATCTGCTATTTATGTAACAGTTTTATTTTGTAACAAATTGAGTAAATTATGCATTCCTTGGGTATGTCGAGGCCAACCTGAAGTTTCTTTTTTTGGCCATCTGCAGCTATCCTCAGAGGAAACAGCTGACAAAATATTGGCGTCGTGGAAGGTCGACAAGGTTGAAGCGAGCCCAATTTGTAGGAATTGGATGAAATTAGTAGCAGTGGTGAGGCTTCCTGCAGCTTCATTCATAGGAAAAAAAGAAGGTTTCAGAGCAGACTCGCTCTTCCCATTCACGCTGCAAACTCTAACTCATTTCTCAATCAATTTTTTACAACGTTTCGGCAAAATTGCCCTCATCAGGTATGCCATGGTGTGCAAGTTTGCAAAGGAGCAGTTATATACATGCAATTTGTGATGCTATGAAGTATGATATGCTACATGGCACCCACCGTGACGTGCCAGAATCATAAAGATAATGATACCTCAAAGAAGTATGATACCAACAACAATTATTCAAAGAAGACAATGCGGTGATAAATTCACGAAAAGCGACGTGCTTTCACACAGACACCCGCGCACACCCACAAACCCATGCACACACACATACACACACTCCAACAAAATGATAATGCACAGTGCACTGGTGTAAGATGTAGCAAAAATACCAGCTAGTGTCAGATGTCACCTCAGTGCCCACATATCAAGAGTGAGTAACTCAACGCACAGTAATATTTCTAGGTGCGATGGATGAAATTAGTAAATTATATTAATGTTGCCGTCCCCAGGTCAGTCATCATGTGTATGCCCCTAAAATCGATCAAGCAATGTTACAAAGTGGTAAGCCTCTCAGTTACAAACTCATGGCGGTGATACGTGGTTGGGAAATCTATTTTGTATTCATTTTTTCCATACATTTATCAGCAGTGCTCAACAGCAACAGTCACTATAGTCGAGGAGCAAGGATGGCCAATAACTCCCATTGTTCTCTCTTTTCGTAGCTGTTGGCCACTCCGGCATTTGCCCGTGCCACTCTCGTTTTGGATGCACCACGTGTGCTGTAAATCTGTAACCAGCTATTTTCTTCCGGATGGCGAGGGGAGGGATAAAGAGAACCGGATAAGCGAGGTCTGAATGTATTATTATTCTGATGAGCTTCCGAGTGTTCTTGCATACACGCACTGATTACTCAGGTTCTCACACAGTCAGACTAGCTTTCATTTCTCTTCTTTCCAAACACAACACAACACAAAAAAGCATGCAATGCAAAGTCAGACCAAGCCAACACCACACACAAAGGAGAAAGCAGACCACAGATTAGCGTAGAACTGCAGCAAGCTGCACATGCTTTGTTTCCCATGCGCTGAAAGATTCACGACACAGCGTGATGACATGCATAATCAATGGTCGACCAATCCAGTCCAGATCAGGGAGTGATGCAGCACCAAGAGTGCATAACCCGCTAGAGTATGCAACTCCAGTTATGGGGTCTGCGATGGCAGAACTTCACATCACGTGATGAACCCGTACACATTATTTGCACCCTGTGCATGATAGGTACAGGGTTGTACGCAACCCTGCTTTGGGTTCAACTCTCTTGTGGTCACTTTGCACTGTTTGCCAGCGTAACCTTTTGAACCACGTCACGTGATGTGAAGTTCATGCCGTCACAGCACTGCATAGAGGTTGTGCAGGCAGTTGCACACTCTTGGGGGTTATGTACTCTTGGTGGAATCAAGGCATTGTTATCTCCACCCAGGGGATCAAACTAGTTTACAGCATAAGTTTGAAGTCGAAGATTGTAAATAAAATATCCACAAGTTAGGAGGAGTGCCTTCTTGATTGGATGTGTGAAATTGCCTTGTTACAGTCGTGGATAGTTGTTCATATAAACTCGTTCTCATGTGTTTTTCTCCTATTTTACAAACCAAAACGAGTGCGAATCGTGTGCTGCAGTTGCCGTTCGGCGCATGTAGCGTATCGCATTGCAGGAAGTGGTATCGTGAATCGGGTTAATACAGGCGGAATCCTGATAATTCAAACCCCAAAATGCCAGGGAAAACTTCTAATTATCCGGACATTCTAATTATCCAAACAGGTACCCAAAACACATTATTATGTCAACATGCTCGCATTGACACGCAGAGTTGCACTACGCACCTTAGACACAGATTTAGTGGACACTGAACTGCGTGCGCATGCAAACCAAACTGATTTGCAGAAAGTACAGCGAACTTCTAATTATGCTTTGTTAACTTTGAATAATCAGAACAAATCCCACACATTTTCTACGTATTCCGTGGGACTTCTAATTAACCGGACATACCCAATCAAGGTTCGAATTATCAGAAATTGTTATAATTATGGGAATTGTATCGAATCTATCGATGGAAATCGGTCCCGGCAGAAACTTCTAATTAAGCGGTATGTTCTAATTTAGCCATATTCAAATTATCAGGATTCCACCTGCAGCCGTACCAGCCCACTGAGATAACAGTGAACCCTAGTATCCGAAAACAAGAGTCTCGGCCACAGATTTGAAATTCACGTGATGACAGCAAAACGCATTCTAGATCAATGATGAGGCACAAAGCGTGCATAAATCGGCATTGCACCCAACAGGCGGCAAGAGCGGGCAGAGTCTTACAGAGACCCACACTGTGTCGTGTAAAAACCCGCCCGCATTGTCTCCCTGGTTTCTATAACTCCCAGTTGCACGTGCTTGGCACATGCTTATATGCCCAGATGCCTATTCGCCGTGTAGTTTCTTGATTCTCCTACATGTATATACATATGGAACTCCATGATGTTCAAAACAGATGTAGTATTCTGAAATCTATATGTGGAGTAATTTCAGCTATACAGTGTAGTCTCAAGCGACTACTGAACGTTTGCTCCTACTTCTCTACGTGGACGAACACCGCGTTTGTCACCATGATAGCTGCAAAGAAATATGAGTGCACTTACTGAACTGCTGATGGTTCTGGCTGTTCTGACGATGGAGGGTCCACACAATGGCTGTCTGGCAGGAAGATGAAAGAGGACAGCAGCATTCCAAGGCAGAAGCCCACCACCGCGCATGTGATATTCCGCAATAGCTTTCTCGTCATGGCGTACTCCGTCCAGCTCTGCACCATACTATCCAGGCAAAACTGCCCAGTGGTAAGAAATTACTAAGAATTGCAACCTAATTTCACAACTACAATTTGAGCATTCTCAGATATCGTGAAAAACTACAGTATTGCTTTGTTGCATATCGTATGCATTCTGAGAGCCAAACTGACATTCAGACTCTATTCTCATGGAATCCTAACACCAACAAAAGCAGATCCGGAAGGCGTGCGTTTAGGTCCACGCACGTCCCAAGACTGGTTATTCTCATAAAGAGCTTCAAAATGCGGATCTCGAAAGACTCAGCTCAGCGCGGCTGTACAGGCTACAGTCTACAGAGCTAGAGCTCGTACTGGTGTTTTGATTCGGAATCAACCGGGCCGCGCGGGATCGGGAATGTGGACGATGCATGCATGTGTAGTACATGTACCCGGGCTCGGTACCCCCCCCCCCCCCCCCTGCTGGGCCCTACTATACATGACTTTGTACTGATGTAGCCATACATTATAATATGTACAATGTAAATAATCCATAAAAATTTAATTTTAATATCAGTCCACATCAATCATGCATAGAGAACACAAAAATGTAGATACAGTGTACCGTGACACCAAGAGAGTAGATAAACAGTTTTATCTACACTTGGTGACACTGACAGTGACACATGCACAGACAAAGTGACCACACTGAACACTACTGTACATTGTAGTGCGTGCGTTAGTTCACACGCGTGTACTATGTAATAAGACCAAGAGGATAATAAGTTAATATTAACCCCCAGAGAGGTTACTATACTCTTGATAAGACTGTAAGTGCAATGGGGCCAGCCAACCAGGCCTATACTCCATGGTACACTGTATACGCATAGGTCTACTCTATCACTGGTGGGGGATCACCGTACATGTATTCCAAGAAGTCATTTCTCATACACATAGCACAGTAATATTATTATTAAACATTTTGACAAACACGCAAGCGTACATGCACACACGCATTCGCGCGCATCCATGCACACACACTGCATCTGTAGCTCGCTAATGCTCACTGCAATGAACACGTTGACCAACTCATTTTGACAGCTAGAACCACCCACTTTGTAGTCGGTGTATCTCGACCTATGAGAGAACAATTTAAAAAATAGACTAGTTATTTCAAATAGATGGAACGGTTGCATATTTGCTCCACTGGGCTGTGTGTGTGGGGGGGGGGGGGGGATACTTACTAAACACACGTGTAGTCGCACAGCGTATGGATACAAACAACAGGAGCGCAGGGCAGCACAGGGAACAGGCCGGGCAGACAATCAGCTAGATAAGCCAATGAATGGTTAAAAAATAATAGTCTTTAAAAAAAGAAACCATCAAACGTTCAAACTGACAACAAAACAGCGCTGCCAATGGCCAAGCGCCTATACAAAAACATGGAATCACTTGATATACAAATCTACAGGGCGGGCACTCAGACAGTTTATGCCGCAGCTAAAAGCAAAGAGGGAGAGAGAGAGAAGAAGCTATGTCGAATCACATAAAAGAAGAAAGAAGAGGGAGTAGTGAAATACCAGTATTTTACTACTCCCTACTTCCTGGTCTAGATTGAGATGGCTGAGTAGAAGAGATGATAGGTTGTACAAGACCAGCTGACGTGCAGCACTGTGCGTAGTACGCTGTTCTGGGTCTACGACGACGACGACGACAACGCTGCATGCATGGAGGCTGCTGCAGCGCGGACACAGAGAAATAATATACCTGCCTAAACTGATACACGCAGTAGTAGGAGCATGTAGCAGTGTCTGTTATTACGTAACAGCAGCGGCGTTGGCGTTTAGCAGAATACATGGAGTCAAGAGGATCAGTGCAAATATCGCCATGCCATGCTAACAGGGAAGTGGCACAGCAGCAGCGGCAGTCAATGTCATGGACGTTCCAATGGGAACAAGCTTACTTGAAGTACACGTCGATTAGCGAGAATTAGCTGTTCACAAAATAATAGTGAGAACACGCACGGAAATGAAACAAGTGGAATCGTTACAGGATGACACATACCGTTGCTGATAGGGCTAATCCGTGATCAACACGGTCATAATACTACACACTTGCTACTTCAAAGACATACTTGTAGATGATCCCATATACAGGAGCACAATGTTGTGGCGACAGAAGAAAAGATAGAAGCGTAGACAGGAGAATGTGCAGCTCGCGGAAGAAGTCCATAGAGACAGGTCCTCGACATGCTCCAGTCTTGAAAGAGCGCCTGCGGCAGGCATTATATATACACATAGGCACAGAGAAAGGAACACACAAGAGTGTGCGCGCGCGTGTGTGGCGAGTACGGTAGGTGGACATAGTGGTACCTTGACTGACTGGAGAACACAAAGGAAAGGTGAGCTTGGCGTGCCGAGCTGTAGGCTGACAGAACTTAATATCCGAACATTCACCAAAGTTGAATGCACATGCTACACACGAGTGCATGTGCTGAGTTTAACTCCACGAGTGCATCATGCTGAGTTTAGACTCCACGAGTGCGTCATGCTGAGTTTAGACTCCACGAGTGCGTCATGCTGAGTTTAGACTCCACGAGTGCGTCGTGCTGAGGATGCTGTGCCTCGGGCGTAAGATGGCAGGCCGTCGCCAGCTACTGGCATGGACTTGCGACGTGCGGACGATGCTGCCGCCGCCGATACAGCTGCTGCGACTGGTGCAGAGCCCGCTGGTGACATGCTACGTCGTACGTCCTTGCTGCTGCTGCTGCTGCTGCTACTGCTGACACTGCTACTCCCGCCGAGTGACGGTGCTTTGATGATCTTGTCGATCTTCACAAAGACACCGTGTTTAGGCTTGCACTTGAAGTAGCGCGTGCCTTTCACACTGCCGTCGTGCTTGCCTATGTACCATATAGAAGAAACAAATGCACACACGCACCAACACACACATCAACACACGCACGAATGCACCACAATGGTAAATTGCAAACCTCACAATGGTCGAATTCCTTTCAAAGCTAGTTCTACTGTTCGTCCGGGATGATCCCACAACACATAAGCTCTGGTACTGGCCGCGCAGCTCTCTGCATCGGTTTGATACATAACCATGCACACAGGAATTGAAGGCTGCTAGTAAAAACTAGATACATGTAGTACGAAATACGGTATTGTGAAGAAGATATTTCAGCACTACTACTCTACTACTGCCTAGTTGTTGGCGTGCTCCTCGTGTACTCTGGATAGCTGTTCTGAATATTCGTCTGTTGTGACATGTAGCCCAAATTTCGTTTTAAGCATGTTCATGCTAGGTGCGTTACACAACACACCGTAACGTTATTCTTACCCTTGGGCTGATCCAAAGCCACGCCAATCCAGTCGCCGGGCTGAAAGTCGGTCGTACCGACAAACTTCACAACACCCATCTTGTAGCCATTGGCCAGATCCACCATGACCAGATCGCCGACTTTTGGAAGCGGTTCTGTTGGTTCTGCTGGCTCTGGTGGTGCCGGTGCAGCAGCAACTGCCGCCGCTGCCACTGCTACCTCTGCACTAGCAGAGGATGTAGCGCTTGCCACATCCTCCTGAGTTGGAGATGGGGATGATGCGGAGGCGGTTGGACTCGGCGAGCTCGATGCCTGCAAATCAGAATAACATACCGGTACGTATTTTCAGAACTATAATTATGTGTTGGAACTTGGTGTCAGGTCGTCGAAAGTCTCAATATCCTTGTCAGTTTTGTGCCTTGTTGTCGCACTACCATAAAAGCCCGTGTATAGGCCCTGGACGTATAGAATAGCAGCCTCGATTTCCTGGGCGTATACAAGGGCACGAGCGTTATTTTGGAACCGGGCGTCTGCTTGGAATAGGGATAGCAGTAAGTATTGGGTATCAGACACTATCAGTACCTGTGCATGTACTAGTATTGCTGGCATGGCTGGGCGTATACATGGGCATAGGCGCTATTTCGAAACAAAAGTGTTGACTTCCCCTGACTGGGCGTGTACACGGGGGGTGGGCGTAATTTCGAGTGGGCAAATACAGGGGGCTTTTACGGTATCTGACTGTATATCATCTCGTTACCTTGGTGGATTGTTAGTCATAACTAGTAACTTATAGGTACTTTTCTCTTTACATATTACTATTGGCTCAACATCCGAGTTTTATCATATTTCTGACCTAACTTATAGAAGTCATCGACTTTCCATCTTGAATAAGACTGAAGCGAGACTGTGAAAAACCTATGGGCCCAGATTTGGCAAATGCACTATAGTACCCTCACAATGGCTAAACTCACCAGATCAGGTGAATTCACAGTCGGTGGTGGATTGCTAGCCTGGTCAGCTGTCAGTAATAGCGACTGACTGGATGTAGCTGACGCTGGCTGTGTTACTGCTGCACTAGACGATGTTGTGGAGTCTTCACTGGACGTCCGCTGGGCTGCACTGCTGTGTGCTATGCTGGATGTGGGCGCTGCCAGGGGCGACGCAACACGGGAGTTGCCAGGACTTGACATCAACAACGCTGGTGGCACAGCAGCAGGCGAGGCCTGCGTCGGATAGGCAGACTTGGAGTGAGTGTGGACGGGTGCCTCGGTGAACGAAGCCGCTGGTGGAGCAACAGGCTGCTCAACAGCAGAGCTGGAGGTCGACAGCGGCTGTTGTGATGACACCTCCGCAACTGACTGGACAACTTCAGCAGCAGGGACAACAGTAGTCTGTGTTGTTACTAAGGGTGCAGGTGCAGGTGGTGAGTTGGGTGTCACTGTCGGCTCAGCAACGGGTTCCACTCTAGGCTCTTCCACCGCGGCAGCCTCTTGTTGAACCTGTGGAGGTTCTTTCAGTGCTGGAGACCCAGAAGCTGCATTGGTAGTGACAGTTAGTGGTGAATCGTTCACAGCGCCACTCTGTGCGGCAGTAGGTGTACTTTCAGAAAACGCAGCCGCCACCTCATCACTGCTACCAGTGCTCTCCGAGGCAGATGTCAATTTCCTTATCGTTTCCGCAGCAGTTCCAAGTTCCTTAGAGCTGCCAACACCACTCTTAGCTTCATCTGACGAATGCACACTGCTGGTTACATCTTGCTGTGCTTCTGATAATACGCTTGTCATTGACGTCTGCTTCTCATTGTCAGCCTTGGCAGCAGAAGGGAGGGCCGGCGATGCAGTTTCTGCTGTCGTTGGAGCAGGTTGTGCTGAAAAATGCACCGGTGTTGCTGGTGATGATGGTGAAGAGGATCGAAGCTAGAAGCACAAATGAACAAACAAGCCTCTTCAGATACATCTGACTAATGCAGGGCTAATAATGGAACAGTGTGTGTGTGTGTGTGTGTGTGTGTGTGTGTGTGTGTGTGTGTGTGTGTGTGTGTATGTGTGTGTGTGGGGGGGGGGGTGTTCGCCTGTGTCTGAACTGAAGCCACGACTTTCGCCGTTCGAATGACCTATCCCAACACAAGAATTACTGCCTCGCCTAATAGCTATCATCGCCTTTGGCGATGGGCTTTCCAAAGGTCCAAAGGTGTGTGTGTGTGTGTGTGTGTGTGTGTGTGTCTGTTGGCATGGTGATACCGGTCCATTCTATCTACATCTGCCTTCAACGGTGTCCAGCATTCTGAACCATACAGAACCGTTGACAGGACGCAAACGACATATAGGTGGCGCCTGGTAGGGAGGTTCAGGCTCCAGTCATGTAGGATGCGCCAAAGACCACCAAAGGCCCCTGCACCCTTTGCTAGACGGCTCCGAATGTCCGCTTGCGAACATTCGCTCCATCCTTGGCGTATCGCGCGGCCGACAGTGGGAACAGCGCATCTCCTCACAGGAACTGCGAGCACAGTGGGGTGATCCCACACCATTGTTACGCATGGTGCAGCAGAGACGGTTGGAGTGGCTTGGGCACCTGGCTCGTCTTGATGACACCAGAGTACCGAAGCAGTTGCTGTTTGCCTGTCTCCCTCAGTCTCGGCCATTCTGTGGACCCCGTCGTCGCTGGAAGGACACCATCCACACGGACCTATCCGTGGCTGGAGTGCGTAACTGGTTTGAGTTGGCAAGCGATCGTGGAGAGTGGCGTGGAGTGGTGACAGCAGCAGGTGAGGACAAGGAACCTGCCCCGAAGGGCATTGAGTGCCCAACCTGCAACCGTCTGTTCCGCCGTAGTTCCGACATGGCCCGGCACAAGTGTTCAGCAATCCGTCAGCTCCCGGTATCGGAGCAGCCTGGGTCAGTACAGTGTCCAACATGCAACCGATGGCTACGTAGCAGAGGAGGCTTTGCGGTGCATACGTGTCGGCTAGGCGATGACGACCAGCCGCTGGCCCCTGCCCCTGCTCCTCTTGTTGTTCCGGGTGTAACTTGCACAACCTGTCAGCGTTCGTTTAAATCGGCTGCGGGTCTCAAGCGTCACCGTTGTGGAACCTGTCCCAAGCGCCCTACTATGGCTGAACGCCAGCAATTCAAGTTTCACTGCCAAGTTTGCCACAACCGACAGTTCCGGAGGCGGCAAGATCTGCATCACCACTTGGAGCATTGCCTTCCTCCCCCCTAACCTCTCTGACAGTACCTCCCATCTGGGAGCGGCGCGGCCAATTCTGGCAGCTGTCAATAGTAGTAGTAGTAGTAGTAGTAGTAGTAGTAGTGTGTGTGTGTGTGTGTGTGTGTGTGTGTGTGTGTGTGTGTGTGTGTGTGTGTGTGTGTGTGTGTGTGTGTGTGTGTGAGAGAGAGAGAGAGAGAGAGAGAGAGAGAGAGAGAGAGAGAGAGAGAGAGAGAGAGAGAGAGAGAGAGAGAGAGAGAGAGAGAGAGAGAGAGAGAGAGAGAGAGAGAGAGAGAGAGAGGAGAGACAGACAGAGAGATAGAGAAAGAAAGAAAGCAAGCAAGAGAAAGAAGAAAGAAGAGAGAGAGAGAGAAAGAAAAACAAGAGAGAGGAAGAGAGGGAGAGAGAGAGAGAGAGAGAGATAGATAGATAGAGAGAGAGAGAGAGAGACTGACCGCTTTGGGCTGTGTCTGAGGCTGCGCCTGTGTGCGTGTTGCTCGCTTCAGTGGTGGCGTGGGTGCCAGGCCACCAACTGTCGACAACGGCGGTGCAGCCAGGGATCGTGAGCTACCACTTGCCGATGAGCTACGATTCTACACACAAGGAATGCAATTTCACAGTAATTTCATCAACTGTGCGATAGCGTCCAATTCAAGTTGAATAGGAACAAGTTCAATAGTACATGGTTTTAGAGCATGTAATGCGGCTCTATCTGACCAGCACTCCACCAGTAATGCATACAGCAAGTTCACCTTCAAGGAAATGCTTTGAGTGCATCAACCTATCAGCCAAACACGCATGCACGCACGCACACACACACACACACGCACGCACACACACACACACACATCCATGTACCTCAGAGTCATTGTCCGGTGTAACAGGCTGCGTCGCTGGACCGGGTGGCACTGCAATTGGGGCAACCTAGCAAACAATCAGAACAAACAAATACAAACAAACACAGAGAGAAGACCTGGTAATTCGCAAACACAGCATGTCATAATGTTTCTTCAGAATTCCCAAACTCCATTGCAGCGTTTTTCTTGCACTTGAAAATATGCCCTGATGATGCCCAATGGGCGAAATATTGGCAAAGTTATCTATTTGGTGCAGCTGAGAGCCTGTTGCCGGAATGGCGGTATTTTCACATACAGCATGTCATCACACCAATAAAGCAACTACTAGTATCAGCATGACCAGCTTGCCGAGCTAGATGTTTCGGATTGCAAATGGATTCATAAATGGGCTTGCTGACAGCCTTACAGCTGGAAAGCAGTAGTTGAAGGACAAGCTTGTAAAAGAAATTCGCTGCTGGGCAAATGTATGCTTTCTTCATGGCCATTTCTCCGCACAAACCAAAGAAGAAAGACATTGCTACCCTTGTTCAGGTGGACGTTCGTCCACTAAATGTTTTCTTTGCTTCTTCCATATCCAGTGAAGGCTCACTATATTACCATGCTCTATTGAGTGGTTTTGCATCTGTCACATGACCTTACAGGGCTGCCATGTTGCTTCCAATTCTAGTCAACCCCTGCATCTATGGGTCACATGATGTCAGCGGACATGTTGGTTCCACTGCCCACATGACATCATTACTTTCTGCACAAATTCAGTCCCATGACAAATATGTGAAACCACTCGATAGGGAGCATTTTGCTGTTACTGGCAGAGGCATTGTGGCATTGTGATACAGTGCCGGTGCAAACATGCTGACGCAGTCCAGCAAACCGCCTGACAAAGCCTTCTTTTTTTGTTCGTAGCTAAAGACACACAGGAGGTATTGCGCTTTTTCAGTTCGCTCATTTACGCAGAGTGCCCATTACACAGATGTGTCCAGATAAGGAGGTTCAGATACCAAGGGAGAGGTTCTATGGGAGTGTATTCTAGTAGAAAAATTGCATACAAGTAGTCACACACACACACACACACAGAGCCGTATATACATGTACAGTCAGCAGCTCCACACTTACCACCGTGGGAACTGGCTGCACGGTCGGACCTGGGGTGTTGGCAGCAGACACAGGACGCACTTTCATCACGCGACCGGCGGCAGCAAGGCCTTCCTTCACTGCCAACTCCTGAATACAGCAACAACAGCACAGACAGACACAGACAGACAGACAGACACACACACGCACACGCGCACACACACACACACACACACACACACACACACACACACACATACGTATATGTACACAAACATTACACAAACATACACACAGAGGCAGACGTGACAGTCAGCAAAAGAAGAGGAAGGCTGAACTCACAACTACAAGAAATCCAAGATGGAAAGAATGAAACAAGCTGAAAGACATCCAACGGCAGCGAAACCAACATCCAAGTCGAATCTAGCAAGACCGACACATGAACAATTTAAGGATAGGTACATGTAGCATTGCTCAATGACCCTCACCTGTCGCAGCCTGTCCAGTGACAGAATACTCTGAACAGACGACATGCCATGCGAATATCTCTCGATGACAATTTCCTGATCACCATCATCGTCAACAGCAGCTAGATTAGTTGGTGTGGACGGCCGATCCATGCCAGCTTGCTGCACAGCACCAGAACACGGTGAAACAGAATGGCAAAATAACTTCAAAGCCCACAAACTACTGAGCTATCAGAACAGGCTTTCCCATAATATTGGAATCTATCAAATAAAAATAAAAATACACACAGCTCGCATCTTCCCTGAAACTGTTAGACAGGAGCAGGGTCGACGCATCTGTCAACAGTGTCAAGCCAAGTGAGTCTATCTCCTGCAGGCTAGAGAGCGCTCTCCACGGAGAGATCCGCTGCCTTCAGGTTGTGTCGAATCGTATCTATCCACCGCAATGGTGGTCGGCCACGTGTTTTTAAAAATATCGTATGTATTGATGGATAGCTCCAGTGCTTGGAACTATCCAAATGAATAGGTAAATCAAGTGCTGCTATGGTGCCGCACCACAGAAATACGTGTGTTGTCACCAATATACTGACTGTGTTACCCAGTGATAAGCGAACTTAGCACCGGGAAGCATTTGCTGCCACGCCAATATATACAAAATCCAGCATGGGAAAAAGTACACATGAATCACCACGAGTATCACCACAAGCATGCAAGTACGTATGTACGCACACATGGACATGTGTGAGCACAGACACACACACACACACACGCACACAGACACACACACACACACACACATGCACACACACACATACACTGTGGCCAAACAAACGGTGGCCACACACGTATCTGCCCGACATGTGCACACAGACACGCAGTCAGTACCTTTGGAATGCCGTACACCACTTCATACGCCACTCCACAGTGGTGTCGTTCGTCCTAAAAACACACACACACACACAGACAGAACATTGATGACCAGGATTATAGCGTTGTTGCAAAAGGGTACAGCGGTACAGCCATGTGAGTGTTACCATGTTTAGTACTATATATGTACCTGTGTCACGCGGACCACTGTAGCGTGAAGTCTCACTGTACTGCTCATGACACGTGCATGTATTGTTCTTAGTAGATCTGGTCTGTGCATGCTTCTGCAATACCTGTACTACAGTGTTACTCGCTTCACTGCACATTCCCACGCATGCGCTCGCTCACTGCATCATGCAGTGCATGAGGTAGTGCTCATGCGGCCCTTTCCTTTGTGTTCAGTTGTGTTAGAAACAAGTAACGTTGGTTGTTCTTTTTCTTACTAAATGATCACTATCAGTGTTTGAGTTGATAATAACAACCTTCCTCTCACAGCCAGTCCTGCTGTTATTATGGTTCTATTATCGGGGATCCGGCCCTGATAACAACCTGCTGTTATTCAGCACAGCATCTCCAGCCTGCTCGGAAAACATATGATACAGAAGACACAAACAACGGAGGCGAAAGGCTGTGTAGCTGTAAGTTCAAAAAAAAGTTTCATGCATTTCAGCGATCATCAGACAGTGGCATTCACCTCGACCAGCCTTGATAGGATCTAGAAAACAGTGACATGATGCCCTCCCCCTACACACACATCGTTAGCTTACAGATCGGGCAGCTAGCTTCTTCTTGACGAGAGTGCTGAAGCCAAGCTTCTTGTAGATCTTCAAGCAAATGCGTTTCCTCATCACCAAGACGTAGCTCTGCGGGTACTCCATTTTCACCTTGACCTGCACACGTGGTGGTATGGTGGAGAAACACACATGCAGGGGCAAGAGCATCAAACGTAGCCGGCTCTACAATCCAAACACTCCAATCCAGTTATACAGGACTTTATGATCTCGTTGGCTGGTTAAAATCGCCCGCATCACATGTCTATTGGCATTATGCCATGATTGTGAGAAAAATATTTGATTGGTTTCATTGATTGGTGCTTCACCCTTGGGACCCATGTACATCAGTGCTGTACTAATTGCCTCCTTTCAAGCTTTCATTGTCAGATTTGGGCGCGAGTAATAAATGTCGTCATAATACTAGAAAGGACACAAGTCACCGCACACTGAGAAAGGTGAACAGGAAAAAAGGCTGCCTTTCCCACCATGTCCTCACAGTGCTTTATAAACATGATAAATGTCGTCATAATACTAGAAAGGACACAAGTCACCGCACACTGAGAAAGGTGAACAGGAAAAAAGGCTGCCTTTCCCACCATGTCCTCACAGTGCTTTATAAACATGATGAATAAGTAAGTCACATTACACCCAAAGGCAGTGACTGGGATGCAGTGGCACTGCCAACTTGACCATACCCAGCTGCCGGATTAGCGACACGCCCAGCGTAGAACACTGCAGGTGTTGTCACCTACCTTGACGACCATGTAGACACGATCCATGTTTGCTGTGTGCATGTTGAGATGGGCATTGTCGTGGATAGATGTGTCCCACGATGCCGTGACAGATGTCTGTAAACACACACACGCACGCACACACACACACACACACACCTTTGACCTCTGATGCCCATCGCCGGAGGCGATGATAGCAATGCTACGACAGAAGCCATAGCAACTTGTGCTGGGATTGCACCATTCAACAGCTTGCAAGGCTGAAGAATTGACCGTCACTATTCAGCCTGGTCTACACCATACAGCTATTTGAAGTGATTTTTCTGGCCAGTGAATCCCTATTTTTGGTCTTTTCATTTTTTTCCCGCACACACATCACACCACATACTCCGGCATGCACTGGCTGTTGGTAACCACCCAGGAGAATGAAAGAAAAGTCAGGAAGAGTCTGAGAAAGAGAAGAAAGACGTGTGTGCCCATAATCGTCGGGAATCGAACCCTCAACCTATCGATTGGAAATCGCTGCACATACCACTGCACCATATGGGACACACACACACACACACACACACACACACACACACACGTGCACACACACACACACACACACACACACACACACACACACACACACACATGTGCACACACACACATGTGCACACACACACACATGTGCATCCACACACACACATGTGCACACACACACACACACACACACACACACACACACACACACACACACACACACACACACACACACACACACACACACACACACACACACACACATGTGCACCCACACACACATGCACACATGCATACGCTACCTTACTTGACTGACACCCCTCCAAGAGACCCAACAACGTGATGCACAATAGAATTGTCTCATAAAGAAATAGTACAGGTTGTGTGAATGCCATTATCATATTTTTTGTATCGGAACAAACCAGTGCATGTGATGACACTCCATACAAACCACCTCAAATGATGACATAATTGCAACATTTCTAATTTTCTATAGTCCAAGTGTGTGGCAAGCTGGTACTGTGTACATGTGAGGCAGCAACATGACTTATAGTACTGTGCACATGTGAGATAGAAGCAGCAGCAACAGCAGTAGCAGCATGACTTACACCATCCAGAGCAGGAGCTGCTTCTCCTGTCTGCATCAGCGGTGTCACAGCCTGCCGAGACTCATTGGCGTCCTTGTGCATCAGTGGTAGCTCCACCATGGAAAGGTCATCTTCGCCGGTCAGCAGGATGTCACCGACCTCGATCAGATTCACAGAGTCTACAGAGAAAGAACACAACACACACACACACACACACACACACACACACACACACACACGCACGCACACACATACACACACGCACACACACACGCACACATACACGCACACACACACACGCACACACACACACACACACAACATACACCGCAAGAACCATTGAAAGTGTGAGGGTGGGAAGCCTGGAAACAGCACAAAAACTCACAGCGCACAGGGACTTGAAGTACAACAGCTGCTGTTGGTGACTGCATCAATTGTTCAGGTATTGTCGCCTTTCCAATGGGTCAAGGAGTGCAAACACATCTGCAGTACTGTGTGTACAATGGAGTACAGCGCAACTCTCCATTGCCAGCAATGGTCGGAAAGGTATCAGTCGATGACGGCGCAGAACAATAGCATAGAAAAAGAGTCCAACCCCTATTGGATATCACCATCCATACTCATGTCGGATTGTCCAGCCTAGCACGGGCCTAGCTTGATGGATCTCCCCTACATTTATATCATACACTCGAGCAGCCTTTGCCATGCTCTTCCTCCATAGTAACCGCCGGAGAAAGGTTGCCATTCGTCGAGAGGTGTTCAGCCCACACTGTGTGTCTAAACCACTGCAGTTTCTTGAGACGTATTTTCTTCACGGCCGTCTGCCTTTCTCCTATTTGGTCAACCTCCTACAGCAGATGACTGAGAATTTCATGGTTGGACAACTTACATAATGGTATTGTTGTGGACTGATACAGATTCGTGTGCATTGTCATTGATACGAAAAAAGGAGATCGATATCTCACGGCTGCTCTTGACCTATTTGGTCAACCTCCTACAGCAGATGACTGAGAATTTCATGGTTGGACAACTTACATAATGGTATTGTTGTGGACTGATACAGATTCGTGTGCATTGTCATTGATACGAAAAAAGGAGATCGATATCTCACGGCTGCTCTTGACCTATTTGGTCAACCTCCTACAGCAGATGACTGAGAATTTCATGGTTGGACAACTTACATAATGGTATTGTTGTGGACTGATACAGATTCGTGTGCATTGTCATTGATACGAAAAATGGAGATCGATATCTCACGGCTGCTCTTGACCTATTTGGTCAACCTCCTACAGCAGATGACTGAGAATTTCATGGTTGGACAACTTACATAATGGTATTGTTGTGGACTGATACAGATTCGTGTGCATTGTCATTGATACGAAAAATGGAGATCGATATCTCACGGCTGCTCTTGACCTATTTGGTCAACCTCCTACAGCAGATGACTGAGAATTTCATGGTTGGACAACTTACATAATGGTATTGTTGTGGACTGATACAGATTCGTGTGCATTGTCATTGATACGAAAAATGGAGATCGATATCTCACGGCTGCTCTTGACGCCACTAGGCTATGTGATGATGAAGATGGTCCTTATGCACGTTGTACAGATGTGTGAAGTCCTGTACTAGGGCCGCAGGTGTGTACATACCCGGTTGGGTGTTTATTGTGTGCTATACACACGCATTTGACCAATTTAGCCATATTATCAATGGCAAACAATCGCTTTTTCAGCTTCGTCACTTTGGACAGAACTAATGACTATCTAGATCTTTGTCGGAAAAATATTCTCGTGTGAAATGCATTCAAGGACCATTTCTTAGTGGAAATAGGAGTAAACACAATAGGGTTCTGCACATTCAACACCCAACCGGGCCTACGAGATTCTACGGGATTCTATGAGATTTTGTGCATCTGTACAACGTGCATAAGGCTTATAACTTATACAATCATACCGCTACTAGAGCCTACACATGCTGGAAAATAGGCAGCTACCTGCAGGTAAGCTGGTGTTGACGTCCATGAACAACGTTGGTATTCTCAGCTCCATACCAATCGGAATAAACCTGGAGCAGGGCAAAGGCCGAGAGAGAGAGAGAGAGAGAGAGAGAGAGAGAGAGAGAGAGAGAGAGAGAGAGAGAGAGAGAGAGAGAGAGAGAGAGAGAGAGAGAGAGAGAGAGAGAGAGAGAGAGAGAGAGAGAGAGAGAATAAGCCATGAATAACAATAACCAACACACACAAACTCTGTTGACCGTCTTCAAACATGGGCTACACGGTTAAGTCGTGAATGAAAGAATGAATGAGGAGAACGCCACCCAATGCACATGGTGATCAAGATCACAAGGCAAGCCAGCATGGATCTGCATTTATATTCTGTGCATACGCTGGTATACTTGTACAAGTACTTCGAAGTACTGGCAAAATGAACATAGAGCATTGAAAATCAATTGTGGCCTTGTCACAGCAAGTAACCATGACCCTAGGGAAACGGACTACATGTTTAGTGCCAGGAAAGTACAGAAAGCGTCTGGGGTGGCAAGCAGCAGATATGGCATGGCAGTAGACTGGACATGGCTAGCTGCTCTAACAGCGGGAGCAATACATGGCACATTGCAAGTCAGAAACAGACACACATACTCAAGACACACGCACGCACGCACGCACGCACACACACACACACACACACACACACACACACACACACACACACACTAAACGGCAATGCGAGCTGTGTAAATGCAATAAATGATCTCTGATGGAAATGGAAATGGCTTAGTTCAAGTAGGATACAAGTCGACCAGAACAGTTCCAAGCCAGGACTGGATGGCCATGAGTATCATGATTCCCAGTTGTCCAGAGGAGAAACAAACAGCTCTCGTAGGTGCCATGAATACTAAGTTGATGGAGATGAAACCCATGAGCTCCCTGCCATCATGGTCTGAATGTCAACAATGCTGAGTAAAGCTATCATAGAGGAATGGCACACAAACAACACTGGGCGTGACAAGACTGCTGGATCCCCTACCAGCTGTTCAGTGGAGCAATGGACGGCTCAGAAAAGATCATGGCTGTCAGTGGCTTGACAAAGCAGGGGAATTGGTTGAGAGAAGTGAGTGGACACGAAGGTAAGTTCAATGACAAGAGTGCGTGGCGATGACCTGTGGTATGTAACAGCGTTCTGACCGAGGCGTGGCATGTGCAGTTGTGACACAGAGAGGTAATGGAAGATTGTCTTCATGCTCCGCTTCCCAACCATAAATGGTTGAAAAGCATCTACTTGAAGTAGTCAAAGAGGAGTTGGCTGATACTCAACACCCAGTGGCAAAGAAGGATGGTGATGGTGATGATGATGATGATGATTGGTAAGTCACAAGTCAATGAATGGGGCAGTGACAAGGGCTTGCGATGAGCAAATGGCCGAGAGAGACAAGTGAAACAACAGCTGCAACAACAACACAGGCCTAGCTCCTTTGCCCACCTTTTAGCATGTAACCTGCCAGAGGGCCCGGCTAAGCGACCCAGTATGGATACCCAGCGATCACCTACTTCTTGCTTGCTGTGGTCGGCGAGTTCGCCAGTTGCCGCCGATTTCCCTCCGTCTGGATGCATGCAGTGAGTGGACATGGTACACGTCCGCTGTCTAGTAACAGGCAAATTGTCAACGGACTGTGACGGTATGATGACAAAGCTATTGCCGGGCGAGGTCACTCTTCTGACGAGAGGTGATGGGTAATTGTACTTCTTAGACAGGGCTGCAGAGGAGACTGCAGCGGCGATCGGTGGAGGAGATGATGGACCAGCTCTGTCGAGGTTAGTCGAAGAGGCAGGCGTCACAACGGCGCCACCTTCGGTCGAAGTACTCGCCCTGGCGCTGACTTTGTCCTGCAGCACTTGAGCAATGGGAGTGGAACATCGTGCCGGACTATCGTCTGTGAAATAGTTGCTAGTACATTCATCAATTATACTTCTGTTGCTGACAGTTGGTGATCTAAGCAGGGAGGGGGAGGAGGCGGGAGATGGAGCACGTCGTGGACTATTCCATGGACATGTTGATGGCACAATCGCAGGCACAACCGGTTCAAACTTATTCGGGCTGTTGTTATTGCCCTTTGCTGTGCTCTTGTTCTCGTCATCTGGTGTCAGCGATTGTCCGCACAGCGGACAGAAGCCGTAGCGCGGTGGCACGGAATTGCTCGAACACTGTGAGAGACTGGGACTGGGCGGGCACGAAGGAACGGGGCTGGAGGGGGCGCTGCGAGCGGACGGCGGCGGCGGCTCATACATATGATACTCATACCACCAGCGGTCCGATTCTGCCAAGCTAGCGCAACAAACAAAACACCATGCCACACACACACACAACCGATAAAGGACCAACAGCAACATGCCAAGCAGCGATGTCACACTGCGGTTCGCTCGTTTTGGGCTCAGTACAGATAGGCCGAGAAGCACACATGTCCAACACACACAGATTTGACACACAACTTGAAAACAAAAAATGCAAAACAAAGACACGCATTCACAAACGCAAACACATACGCACACACACATATCTGACAAGAGAAGAGAAGAGCCTTGGCACTGTCAGTATTACCGTAATGTCGCGTATTAAAGCCGGGCTTATGCCTGTTGAAACCGATGTCAGGGTTAGGCTTCTATTCACACCAGGTATTTCTATGTGTGTTAACACTAAAACCAGGCTTATGTGCTGACAGTGTATCTTGAAAAATCAGGTTTCTATATGAGATAGGCTTTAATAAAAGACACTACGGAATTTCAAAGACGTGCAGCAGAGTGGCCCCAATCAAACTTGTAGAGTCCTGACAACGCACACCCTCCAGGTAGAGAAACAGAATACGATTCACAGCACACTGCACGCCATTACGATCCAATGGGGACCAAAGAGTTGCTATTTTATCATACAAGTACCGTATTATCTCTAATATAAGCACAGTCTCCAATAATAGCACGTCTCCAATAATAGAACACCTTGGGGCGGCATTCAAAAAATAAAGTGCTCAGTCTCCATTATAAGCACACTGTGAAGTGCTCACTGTGAAGTGCTCACTGTGAAGTGCTCTGAAAACCACCCAGGCCTCCAATAAAGGACACCGTACGGTAGTACTAGTATATGTACGCACATTGCATGTACATGTACATGATATCATGGTCAGTCGCGCGATCGCGAGCGGTGCACCAATCTCTGAAATGAGGTTGAAATAATAATGGAACAGTCTCCAATAAAGGAACGTCTCCATTAATAGCACGGGGCGGAGGTACATTGAAAAAATAAAGGACCGTGCTTATATTAGAGATAATACGGTAATCACATTTGAAAAGGGTTTGCTCCCCGCACTGGAGCTCGCGCTATTCCGCCAAAGTCGCAACCACTATTTCGTAAGTAATCGCATTGTTCACAGTTGTTCTAGCCCGTTATAAGTACAAGGTAGAGGTCGAGTCGGGGTCATTGAGAGGTTAAAGATGCACGTTATTTCTGACGTGACGCGCAATTTCATGTCAAATTTGGCGTAAAACTCCAAATTTCGACGCGAGCTGCAGGCCACTCGCATCGTTTTCCAACGCGTGAGCCAAATAACGCGAGCTGAACTTTTGCGTCACGTCAAAATAAACGTGCAGTTTAACCTCTCCATTAACAAGTGACAAACAACTTGATGGAACACTGGATGATAATAGTAACGAAAACAATAGCTCTCTAGTCCCCTGTGGATGTAATCGCATGCACGGTGCCACGAAAACCATAATATAGATTAGAGCACAAAATGGAAATGAGTAAAGAAATGCCTGAACTGCAATGTACCACAGGAAGAGACTACAACCAAGGCAAGGTAAAAACATAAACAACCCAGCCAGCATGAAACGAATTGTAGGAATAAACTTAAAAAGTGAAACCTCGCAGACTGGATTATACGAACATGGAATCTGTCGCACACTTCCCATGTGGTAAATGTTGTCATAAATGGCCACTGTAATGATTAGAGACCACCTGTCATCACCGACCGGTCATCTCATGCCCCAGACCATGTGTCACAACATAACATTTGACAGAATACAGAACACAGATAACACAAAACATACAAAAACTGAACACAGAACATACAGTTAGACCAGTGTCAAAAGAGCACTGATCTCTGTTGGTTTCTCAGCACCATGTACTGGCTGAACACTGATTCCGCCGTACATGTACTTCTTTCCATTAGCCACATGCATGCACTGTATTTCCCCGAATATAAGTCGCACCTTTTTACAATACGCAACAGGGGAAACATGGGGGGGGGGGGGATGTGACTTACTACTGAATTAAATATTGAAATGGTAGGACATGGACCTGAAAAATGGTGCAACTTTCAATCGAGTGCGACTTACAATCGGGGAAATACGGTACATGTATGTCAAACACACAGCAGTGGCAGCACAGATAGATGCTAACCTATGGCGTGTAGAGGGTGCACCGGGCACACCCGTGCCGGGCGCTGGCTCCAGGACAACTTGCCGCTCGATCTGCAGCTGCGTCCACTCGTCTATTAGCTCGCTCTCGCGGTAGTTGTCGTCTCGCTTGCGAGCTGCGGGCAGTGCAGGCAGACAAGGCACATACATACACACATACATACAACAACAGCAAGGTGGTACGAAACAACAGCGTAGCACAGCTGGACTGACACCGTTCCTTCTACAATGCTCAGCAAAGCTGTAGGCAAGGTAATAAAGGCACACATGCCAAGGTCATTGTTCACAAACAAAAATAGAACCACTTCTCAGTCAGCCAGTCAGCCAGTCAGCCAGTCAGTCAGTCAGTCAGTCAGTTCTGTTGGCTGCGTAAGAACCACCATCAATCAGTCAGGTGCAGGGACGTAGTCAGCAGTTACTCATACAAACAATCATCAAACGTCATCACTATCATCATCTTCTTCTTCAACATCGGCCGTGGCAACACTCCGCATGACAGCTGTGTCATCGCTGTACACGTGCTTCAGGTACTAATCGTGGATGGTGCAAGTAAAACATGCAGTATCCATCAGGACCGCTTGCACAGTGGCAGCAGCAGCAGCAGCAGTAGCAGCAGCAGCAGCAGCAGCAGGAATAGTAGTTGCAGCAGCAGCAGTTCGCTCACTTTCTTGGGACTTCCCCTGACTCTTGACGATAAGATCTAGAACACAGACAGCATAGCAGTACAGATGGACATCACGCACACACATACAGCAAACAGCTGCTGCAGCAGCAGCCGAACAAACATCACAACTAGAACTGCCAAAACGCATACCTTTCTTGTCGACAATCTTGTGAATCTGGTCATCAAGGTATGCTCGCCGTCTCATCAGGGCGTCCGACCACCGCTGCCGTAACCTGGAGTTCACAAGCAAGTTTGTGTGCGTACCGATCAAGCAAGATCAATGTGAACATAAGATTAAAAACTCACCCCAGCATCCAAAACTAAGGCCTAACAGTGTTCATGAAACATGTAAATGACCAAAACTGCCTCTTCTTCCTTCGTGGAACCACAATCAAAAGCAATACAAAGATATCAACTTGTTATAAGCAGATTGAACATCACAGCAAGCATAAATTAACCCAGGAGCATTTGTCTTAAGTAGTACATGTATCCATAAAGCAGGTTCTGGACCAGGTACATGCCCTGCCCCAAAATGAGGGTAATTATACCCCATTTTCAGGGCAAGACATGTACTTGGTCCAGAATTGGCTGTATGGATACTACAGTCATAAAGTATGCTAGCACAGGAGATGGTGGCGGCGAGCCTCACCGTTGCAAGTCCGTGTCCTGGAAGGAGTCGAGTGAGATGGCAGCCTTGTTCTGATGCACCACGGCGCCCATGCTGATGCTGGTGATGGAGTGGCAGGAGATGGGTGCCAGGCCAGAGCCACGCACCGGTGTCACTGATACTTGCACACGCCGAGACTGGCCCTGCAGCAGAAACACCAACACCACAACCACCACCACCACCACCACCACAGTGCACACATGACACATGGGTTTAAAACAATACTGCAACGCATCACCCACACCCGCCCACCCACCCACCCACCCACGTAGCTCCCAGAGCCACATCAGGAAATTAGCCACACCATTTAAAGTTGCAGGGTGCCATCTACCACATGTTAATACAGGCGCGGTGGTCACACTTCTTTTGATTCAATGACTACAACACGATGAGTATTGGTTGAGTAATCAGATACAGTCAGATCTGCATTGACGACCGCCCCATGGCTCACGGATAGCCAGTTGCTTGTAGCCAAGCAGTCTTCGTTAGATCATGTGTGACCTTAAAAACAGGTGACCTGAGGTCTCCTACTCCAGACATTGCTAAAATAACGCAAGTACTAAGTCGTTTTGTCAGCCTAGTCACATACCTGTCGCAATAGATATATGCCACCGGTTCGGACGTCCGGTCGATCAATGACCTCCACTGGTGCATACTCCCCGTTGTCATTCAGTTCCTGGATCTCAACCCACAGCTCCAGCCGCCGCATCACCTCCATCCATCTACAAGGGGGAAAGAGAGCGTGCATATGAGGACATACACGTACATTGTCAAAACCAGAGAGCACCAAAGTACAAGAAAACACAACGCGCTGACTCGTAAGCTTTCTGCACACCCCAGCTTGCCCGTGACACAAGCTGGTATGTCATGACGTCATCGCGGAATGACACACAAGAACACGTATGAAAGAGATATCCCACTGGGCCAGCAATATCACAGTCACAGTGTCAGCTTTGGCGCAGGAATGGGCAGGAGTAGGACGGGAAATGGCTTATTCGACCCTGGGCTTACTGTGAGCCTGGACTTATTCGACCCTGGGTCTATGGTAAGCCCTTCTTGATCTGTCAACCAGTCATTTTACAGCATGCTTTAACATGATGTGGCGCCTGGGAATGAACTAGCCCTACCCCAGACCCCCAAGCTTACCATACACCCAGGGATTATTTTCTCGCGTAAACGGTGAAGATAATGGGGCTGTTAACACGCATGGCAACGAACCGACTGGGGACAAACAAAAGTACTGTCCTTTAGACCAGTGCCAGTTGTCATTGGCAACAGCATAGAAAAGACCGTAGCAGCCGCAGCATTTTCTTTGTTCTTCAACAACTTGCTATCGCTCTTCAGCCATAGTCCTGGTCTCTTAAAGCTTGTCGTAGGTGTCTAGAACGGTCTAGATGGTTATGTGTTTTGCTGCCAACTGCAACCACCAGCGTTTGCGAGAGAGTTGTAGCTTCTTTCGTTTCCTTTGTTGTAGCTTATTTCGTTTTCCAAAGGCAAAAGCAGGAGAGCACTCGGGATTCGAACGGGTAGGTAAGTGGATCAAGTGGATTCACTTATTTGTCTCACTCCACCCTCCCATATTCTTTAATGCGCTCGTCCTGCATACATATGGCTTCAGCAAAGAGTGTGTCCATTGTTGTACCGATGGCGCGGCTTAGTATTTTTTTCTGATGCTTCACCCCGGCTTGCATTCAAATTCTAGATTTTTGTTACGGTTGATTCGCTTAGGAAATCAGAGGAATAGGCCCTATGTTTTGGCGATGCTCTGTTAGATTTCGCTTTCCTTTTCAGTATTCCGTTGATATAATTTAGAGGCTATACAGTGCTGAGTTGCTGTTTCTATGATTCCTTTCTTCACTGGATGCTATAGACGTAAAGATACAGAGCCGAATCAACATGCTCGGTTATGCAGTTGCCACTTTGAACGCGGTCTGAAAAGCAATGGACCAACAATGTTTTCAAGGAACAAGGATAAGCAATTAGTACTTGATGACCCGGGACCTTTTGCAAAGTGGGGAGTGCTTTTAACTGAGGAAAAAAAGCAGTTCTTGTTGTTGTAAATACTGTACTGCTGTTCTTGCATGGCTGATCAACCTTGTTTCTCTTTTTTCAGTGCGTGTAAAGTTACTAAAGTACTTCCGGTAGACACAAGATCAGGATTAACTTTACAGTGACATAGTTCCAGTGTTTCTTTCATAAAGACTATTAGCGTAGTCTGCACCACTTTTTCAGCACTATAAGTATCTCATCTGATATTTTTCTTGCTCTTGTGTCAACAGGAAGAGAAAAGTTCAAGTAACCGAGCTAGACGCAGAGCATGACCAGATACCTGCGGAGGACATCCAAGGTATAAGCTCACCACTTGACATTTCGCAGCCGTCTTCCGTAAGTGAAAGTTCCTCTCCATTTGCCCACGCAGACAGCTTGTTGTTGTCAATGGAACTGGACAAACTAATATCGAAGTGCTCTAAGCTTGAGCAAGATGCATGAGATAGGAACCAGTTGTCCTATTCTGCTCTCCGGACCAGGCTCCAGCTATTCCAACGTTATACCAGCCTGCCAACGTCTGATGATTTTGATAGTTTACTTGACTTGTGTCAACGGTTTGATATTACATACAGAAGTGGCTGGAATTTTACGTCTGTCCCTGCCACTGACCAGCTTCTCATGACACTCATGAAGTTGTGGTGCAACTTTACAAACATCGACGTAGCGTTTCGGTTTCGCATTTCGGTTGTGACAGTAACTAACGTGTTTCGGACGTGGATTCTTGTCCTCCACGAAGTCATATCCCAGGGACTTCTTGAGCACAATATACGGTCGCTGGAGAAGGTCCAGGAAAGTATGCCAGTCTGCTTTGGACCATTTCCGAACTGTCTCATAGTGCTGGACAGTATGGAAGTGCAGGTTGCAATTCCGCGGCGGATGGATGACCAGTCTGCAACCTTCTCGCACTACAAGCAGAAGAATACATTCAAGAGTCTGGTTGGTGTTGCTCCCAATGGCTGCTTAGTGTATGCAGCTGAAGTATACCCTGCGTCCTGCCAACCCCATTGTACAACATTGGTTCTTAGTGACATGCACCCTGAAGACATGGTCATGGCTGACAACGGCTCTTTGCTCCATCGGGGCCTGATGCCAAGTGGCGTTGCACTGAACTTCTCGCCATTATTAGTGAACCCGCAGTTTACAGCACAGCAAGCAGAGCTCACAATGACAATCGCCAAGGCTTGTGTGCATGTGGAACAGAGCATCCAGCGATGAAAGCAGTCTGCCACCGTGGACTTCGTTCCATACCAGTTTGCTTTTGCCTTTGAAGACAGACCGCCCCCGCTACCACCCGTCACTCAATGGAGATTTTGCTGCCACGGTCTAGGTCCTATTCCCTATACGTTTGACACCATACCCATTTCTGATGCGTGTATTCGGTGTGCTCAGCTGTCAGGTGTGCGCAGCTACTGCGAAGGAAATGAACGAGTGAGTCTTACCTTTCCTGTAACGTCTTGGTGCGACTGCTGACTAGTTGCTCGGCTGCTATGACTTCACCGCCAGGTGGAGCAGCAGCCGTCAAACCATCACCAAAGCCACTACTCCGGTGTCCCCATACCTCGATGGCCAGGCAATCAGCCTGGATGTAGGCCATGAAGTCCTCGTTGACAACGACTTGGCATACCTACAGCGGCAGTGGACAATGCACACAGTCAGTGGCCATTTTGTCCACGGCAACCAGGCTGTTTCCTATCTCGGTGTGTGTGTGTGTGTGTGTGTGTGTGTGTGTGTGTGTGTGTGTGTGTGTGTGTGTGTACGTGTGAAGGTATCAATCAGCAAACAACAGGCACCATGCATCCCAAGAACAACACGTTTGGCAGGGCTGTGAAGGTATGACATTTACATGCATTTACATGCAGTGACACTGACACACACACACGCACGCACACACACGCATGGGAATATGTCATAACACAAGAACAAAGGACCGGGCACACAATACCAGCTCAGCCAGTTGGTCTCGTATTGTGACATTATAATTGTGTCATTTACACGTACAGTAGTATCCCAGGAATGCAGAGTACCAAAGGAATGATGCACCCACAGAAAGGAATACATGAAGTCAAGAAACACACATCTTCCATTCAGATCCTGACCCCACCCACCCACCCACCCACCCACTAGAAATACCCAGCAGAATATTGTTGAAATCAACTTCTACTTACATGCGGGTGTAAGAAGGAGATTTTCCCAGGCGGTGGTGGCTTGGAGCTAGCTTCACGCAATGGCGGCACAATGACGGCCTGCTGTTCATCAAAGAACACGTACTGGCAGAAGACAAAGTGGCACAGCGCTGGCGGCAAACCAGTCGCTTCATTCACCGTAATCTGGGAAAGTGAAAGAGAAACACAGCAGAAACCAGAGGGCTCAGTCTGGACATTGTCCACAGAATACCAAACCACCAGACAGGCCAAAGAAAGGAGTGAGCCGACATGGATGTGGATTTTGTTTGAAATGTCAAGTGTGAGGCTGCGCAGTGAGAGCTGCATACCACCATCCTGTGTCGTTTCACAGGAAGCACAGACTTTGAAGCCTGAAGAAAATGTTGAACGATCTCTGCTGAGATGATGACTGCACCGTGGCTTAGGGGCAGAGTGTAGCTGGCTTATAGCAAACGTTCCTGGTTTTCGAGCCCTGGTGGTGACAGTCAAATTACTCGTCAGACCTTTTTCCCTTTCACCTTGGTCAAATTCAGTATATGTACTACCAAGAGCACATAAAAACCAGAGTGTGCAGCTTGGGGCTTTTTCTACTATGGGTGTCACGGCGGATTTCCATGATTACATAATAGTTGGCGCAGATCTGAGGCGGGAAATGGCGTAGTGCGTACAACTGAGCTGCAGTTGTGCAGAAAGAGACCTGCTTGAATCCTGCTTGTACGCACTACATCACTAAAATGATGTAATCACGGAATTCCACCGTGACAGCAACCCATCCGAGCTGCACACGCTGGTTTTCATGTACTCTTGGTACTGCATGTACATGTAGGTAGGAACAGTCTTGATTCTAACTTGCCACAGTAACTTGCTCATGGCTCCACTGTACTGCGGGAGACCGGGGCATACCAGTCTAGCAGAGTCTAGCTGTCTAGTAGAGCTGTTGCCTAGCAACACATGATGAAGAAACTTGCCCATAGCTCCACTACACTGTGGAAGACTGGGGCATACTAATCTAGAGGAGTCTAGCAGAGATGTTTCCTAGCAATACATGAATAATCTAGGAGAGCTGTTGCCTAGCAACACATGAATACACAGTACATACCTGGACGGCAACCTTTGCTCCGGACTGCAGCTCATCGTCCTCCATCAGCTCCCACTGCTCCTTGAGGCCGTCGGTTTCACCTTCACCTTCGCCAGGCTTCCCTACCACTTCTGCAGAGGCATAGCACATAGCACAGCATATAGCACACGTCACAGCAACACCGGCACCAGAGCCAATCTCTGCCAAGGCCAAGAAGGTCACAGGTATAGCAATACAGCGGATTGGCGGCAAGTCAGTCTTGGCAGTCAACGGCAAGGAAGTAGTTAGCTTTTTAACAGAGGATGCTCTCAAGGCTATCAGTCAACGGCAAGGAAGTAGTCAGCTTCTCAACAGAGGATGCTCTCAACACTATCCAGGAGTGGCTTGGCTCCTTTGAAGCACAAAGCCTCTTCTCGCTGTCCACAACTGCAAAGCGTTCGATATGCGCGTTCTCCTCAATGAGAGCTGGGCACCTGCAATATGCAAGAGGAGTTTCTTGCATCCATTTCAGGTCAGTGTCTGCTGCCTGTATCCTTCCCTTTGAAGTTTCCTCGGCCAGACACATGGTGCCGAAACCCGGGACGCAGAGGATGAGTTAGTTTGTCGTGAGTCTGGTTTTCGTCAACAACAAAGTAAAACTAAAAAGTAAGCGTGGGAACGGAGGAGATCAAGAGAGGAGCTGGTGGGAGCGCAATACGGTGGAAAAGGAGCCAGAGGAGGTGGTGGACCGGCAGAAACTGTGGACTGGAGCCCGGGACGGCAGGTACCGCATGGAGCGTGTGGTCATGGCCCGCCAGAGGCCAGTGGATGAGTCTGGCATCACCGACTGTGTGTCGTCCTTTGTCGATCGTCTTGTTGTCTTGCTCACTGTGTTGTCTGATCGTGTTTCTCTTGCTGTTCAGTTCATTGCTTGTTGCTGGGTTGTTTCAGTTTAGTTGTTGCTCTTCTCGTTGTTCTGGTGCAGTTCCGTTACACACACCATGTGCTTCTTCTCCATATTTGGACAAGTTTTGGATGCGTTTGGCAAGGCTGTTCGCAAGAACGCGGACCTTGAACTATACCAAGTTCAGCACTCCTTTCTGGACAGCCTGGGCCCTCTGGCTGCCCTTTTGGACTCAGCCGAAAAGGCAAAGGCTGCTGGCTCACCCATATCGGTGGAGGTTGTCCTGGGCCCTGTCTAAGCGGCCCTGAGCATCCAGCTCTAGGTACATTGAAATTAGGCATTAGGGTTGAGTTATGTGTGTGTGTGTGTGTGTGTGCGCGCGCGCGTGTGCCTGTGTGCGAGTATATTTTATACATGGTGAGCACTGACAAGCCTACACCTGCATGCCAATAAATATGTAGTGTACGATTTGTTTTCATTTTCATTTCCCTTTCTATAGCGCACTCTGAAGCAGATGGTGCAGCACTTGCTCAGGTTGTGGTATTCCTGCAATCCAAAAAGCATTCAATCCAGTTTGTACTGGTCTGTTCACTTACGTGCAATACGGCGGATTTCCACGTTCAAACGGCCACACGTCTGCACAAAGACCAAGACAATAGGGGAAAAAGGAAAGGGGAAGATCCATCACCCGGCGACAAACCCAAAAGCGTAGAGAGTAATGCTTGGGAAGTTGCTGGGAAAAAGTTGAGAGATTGAAGGGAGTCCAGTTTGTGGTATTCCTTGCCCTAAATAGCCACATGAGATTGCAGATCTTTATGACAGAATTAACTCAATCTGCGGACAGCATGCTGTTTCGTTCTTTTTGAACTCATCAGCGCAGCACAGAGGAAATGAGGCCGAACCTGATAGCAATGGAAAATGGACAGCAATGGACAGAATTAATATCAAAAGCCACTTGCGCTGTGTTAGAATCGTGTGTGCTGCTCTACAGGCACACGCGGGCACATGCTGAACAACATTATGGTAATAACGGAGTACTTGAGATATGGTGAGAAGACAACTGAACGGCAAAAGCACGACTGACCTCTCCGCGTGGGTCAATGATGGGTGGGGAATATTCCAGCGGAACGTTGTACAGCAAGCAGTCCAGGAAGATGTTGGCCACACCAATCAGAGTGTGAGACTCCAGCTCGTAGAACGGATCAGGGCCTTGCGACGTCAGATCACCCTGAACAAGTCAACGAGGATGATTCACGAGCACAAAAAAAACAGGCAAATTTCAACAATCGCACAAATAATTTAAAAAAAGACATAGGACCTGACTGATCATGTCCAAAGCAATAACGGCACAATCCGCCTCAACCTGGTCACCATCGACAGAGTTGAAGTCCCCTACAGCTGTATTGCCCTTCAACTACCATGCACATAAGGTTCCCGGAAAATCAATACAGGATATCCTGGTTCACAGATCTAGCACGGATTGCCCCTATATGGAACTGAAAGTGGTGGCAGCTAGGCCCATACATGGATGAAATGTGCATATAAGGTAGTCCATTCATGCTGACCTCTGATGTCACTGGAATAGCCATACATGTGCACATGTGACTATATAGAACTGAAGGGACAAGAAGTTGAACATGTCCATAGGGAGAAGAGCAGCAGCACACCCATACACACCCACACCACCACCTTACCATGAGTGCACCGTCTTGAAGTTTGTCGTACATCTCTCTCATGTCCACCAGCTTGTCCTCGAGCTTATCTACAGACCAAACTGTGCAGCAACCACCAGCAACCCCAGTAGAAGAGCAACCATTAGAACATCCCGATGCGAATCGGAGGAAAATGCACAGAAATGCTCAGTTCTTGCAACTTCTACCGAATCCCTGCAGCAGAGGAGTGTCTGCTCTGATCACTGGGTAGTACAGTAGAACTCAGATAAGAGATACCCGCATGGGCAGCAGGAAAGTGTACTTAGTACCCAAGGTACTTCTTATCCAAACATACTTCAATGTGGATCAGGGTTCTGCCACATCACTTACCGGTATGTGTGCCTCGCGTCTTATAGACAACATTGACGACAACTTCATACTGAGGCTGACTGGCATCCTGCAGCAGCACCACATGCGCAAGGAACACAGGATCACAGTGAAGGTCAATCACTGTGCACAGTCATACTACACTAATATACACCCCATCAAACAAACTTCTCCGTCTACTTGGATAAACTGCAATGAACCATTTCAAAGCAGTTCATATCATGCACCTAAGCAGGGGTGCACATTCCTGGCCGCGATAAGAGCAACTCAAACAGCGGACTTACTTTCGGTCTTGGACTCAACATGGCCTTCGGTAACTGCAGCAAAAAAGAATGAACAAAAAATCCAATCCACTCACACCGATTACAGCAACATGCTGTAGTGGATAAATGAGCATGTATGCACCACCCAGTCCAAACTAGAGATGCCAGCACTGACATGAACTGCCTACACATACGGGTACACCAGTAGCAATATAAATAATTCAGTACTTCACTGACAATTGACACATGTCCATACATTACAAGCTGATGCATAGGCAGTTCTAGATATCTAGACAAACAGTACACACAAGGAGGTACACTGGGAGAATATCCGTCTCTACTCGAGTTTCTAGCTATGCGCAGTCATCAGAGAGACTGATGCTCAACAGAATTTACAGTACTAGAACAGTGTACTACAGTGCGTTTCAAAAAATATAGACGCATGATTTCAAAAAAAACATTAGGCCAGCATCTATACCACATAAAACCTGTGATCACGTTGTGCAAAAAAACTTCGAAATTGGGCGTTTGTTACCTGATCGTTTAAAATATCTATATAAGAGTAATTGGGGGAAGGACTTGAGCAATATTCCGAAAAAATTCTTAAGAAGCTCCGGCCAAATTTTGAAATATTTCAAAAATGCCATGCGTCTATATTTTTGAAATGGACTGTAAAATACAAACAGAACACGGATGTCTTGGAAGCAGTGCCGAGTGACCATGTACAGCACTGACCTGCAGCGCAACTGAGAACTTGGTATCTTTGCCCATTTCCTCACTCAGCTGATTCGCCTCGCTGAAAACACAATGAAGAAACATACATGTATGTATGTAACAAAGTTCAAATCAAGACAGAGCACCATTCCTCGATGCTGCAGAGAAGAGAAAACACTTTCCATGGTGGATACAGGCAAAGAAAGTCAACTCGTGCTACATGTATCGTAGATGGTGGCATCAAGTACGACAGCAGCAATACTTCATTGCGCTGAACTAAAACGGATCATGGCGACAAGTTTCAATCTACACAAGTGCCTCCTGGCTTCTAGGGGATGCTGCGTATCTCTTACCAAACCATTCCGTTAGCGTGGATGACGAGATCACGCACAGCGCTCATATCAGCATCCGCCTCTTCATCGGCCTCACTGCTGCATAGCACAGCGTAGAACAATACTCAATAGCAGCAGCAGCAATAGCAATAGCGACAGCAGCAGCAGCAGAACCACCACCAGCGGTATCAGCAGCAGCACAAAACACAAAGCAAGTTGCATGTCACCAGTCCCCGCTCTACTAATCACACCACGTCTCACGAAGTCAACACAAGTCCTGAAGGAACTACAAATACACAAAAAAGAAATGATCAGACAACTACAGGCACACCCAGGTACACTGTGAGTGCCCTGCAACACGTATCCCCCTCTGCAGCATCACCACAGCAACACCGCAACACAGCAACACAGCTACAAAAGAAAAGCAGCATGCAAATACGTAGACCATCCATACCTTAGGCTTTAACATGTGTTCGAAGTCGACAGCATGTTACACGGCGAGGACGCACAGTACTCCTGACTACAACCATAACCCGGTTGCCAGAGTCATGGTTGTAGTCGGGAGCAGTGTGCGTCCTCGCCTTGTAACATGCTGTTGACTTCGAAAACATGTTAACCCTTTCAAGCAAGGATTATACCATCCATACCTGTACACTGCTGCAGGGTCCAGCCCAGCAGCTGCAGCAGCTTCGGCCAAGGCACTCTGTTTGGAGGCTTCTTGGCTCGGCGACGGAGCATTGCTAGCACCGCTGCCCAGTTGTTGACGCAGTGCTGCCAGCTTATTCTCATATAGCTGACGCTGCTCATCAAGAGCATCTACAAACACACAGACGCACACACCCACACAGATACACACACAGACACATCCAAATGTAGTTTTACAAATATTACACAGCAATGAATCAACCAAGTCTCATTCCGCTGTAACTCCGAGTTTCGTGTCAGAATGTACATGAGTATTGAAAAAACTTCTCATTGTCTCGATATGCCAGATATTTTCTTAATAGGAATTCAAAATTTCAAATACATAATATACATGCTGCAAACCTACTTCAACACCGCAGGTTACTACTTCAACACCGCAGGTTACTACTTCAACACCGCAGGTTACAAATTCAACACCGCAGGTTACAAATTCAACACCGCAGGTTACAAATTCAAGCAGCAATAAAGTCGAAAAACCAGCAAAGCAGACATCATGCAGGAATTCCTTAGCTACCAGAGCTTGAATGCTCTACAAACTCACCTTGCTTGTCAGTGGTGTGCTTGTGCTCCAGAGCAGATACGATACTACCCAGATCACCTGGCAGAACAGAATCAGTACAGACAAGAACACTTGGTTCAACACTTTGCTTCGACACACTGGCTTCAACACACTTGCTTCAACACACTTGCTTCGCCACACTTGCTTCGACACCTGCATTCTACGCTGTACCTAAGATTTTCATAAGTTTGAGGGAGTTGGAAAGAGAGAAGTCTGAAGGAAAATCGACTGCTACCACCAGGACTCATTATCCCATAGGGATCTGCTTCTCGATAACTACCGTATTTTTCCGGTTGTAAGTCGACCTTTTACGACTAAAAATAGAAGGAGAAAGGGTGGGGGTTGACTTACAACCGGGATTCGACTTATAACCGGGAACTATCAGTATCTTACAAAACATGACCTGCACTGCATGCACGAGAGCACCATGTGTACACATTTTGCCAGTTTATTGGCCTTTTCAAGGATTGGGAAGTTATACTCTCCAATAAGGAATGTTTACATGATTTGCTGATGTGTTAGTAGCAGGGAGTGGTTAGTAGTGCTTCGTTGGGTGAAAACTTTAAAACGCAGAATTGAGACCTCCGGATATGGGGGTCAACCTATAACCGGGGTCGACTTACAACCAGTAAAATACGGTAACAAGTCTGTTTCACCTAAACTGGTCCTTGGCCTGCATTCCTAAAATTTCCAGCACCTAATTTTTTTGTGAGATTAGGTCGAGTATTTGTAAACAAAACACAGGATCAGTATGCACGAGAAATGCCAAGAGTGGGGAAACACACCAACACACCGTCTTACCAGTCTGCATGTCAGTCAAGGCTAGTTCTCGCTTGGCAAATTCAAAATCTACCAGCGCCGTCTGCGCAGGCGGTGCCTCACCGGATTCAGACTCCACAATGGCTGCATGCACATATGAACACATGAACACACGCACGCACGCACGCGCACACACACACACACGCACATACAAATGCACACAGAGTTAGAGAACAGGAATGCTAATTCGAACTCACACATGCACAATGTCCTATACGCTGAGCCACTCTCCATGGCTGCGTGCACCGAGCATGGAATCGTGGCTACATCTAGTGGGGTTAGAGAAATCATTTACGATACTATACTACGCCGAGTGAGGTCAATGTTTAAGACTACACGTGCTCTACATGGCCACCGCACACGTTCTCGCTTCAAGCCTAACAATGCAATACTAGCAGCACATTTCAACAACAATGCAGATGTGGGTGCACTGGTAGATGTAGTTGACTTACGTGCTGGCCGCGAGCAGGACACGCGGAAGAAGTGGTTGTTTCCCCACACAATACGATCGCCATTGCACAGGATTATCGGTTCATTGATCACACGGCCATTGACACAGGTCCTGGAATGGGGGTTGCAAGTAACAAGCAAGCGGACAAGGAATACACTTTATCGATTACGGGAACTAGCAATGTGAACTAGTGTCGCAAAGTCCAATGGAACTCCCAGCGAAAGGTGTGCAGCGGCACTTGGTCCAGTGTCAGATTAGATAGATATATTATAGTGAATTTCTACACACTCTACGTGTGTATTGACCATTGTCTGACTCTGTACAGATGTGACGACCATATACAGGTTTGTGTCTGCAAAAGTGCTTCTATCGGCAGCTGTTTTCCTGTTTGTTTCCCCTCTTTTGGTAATTGGCATACTTTGTAGTGTCCTGGGTGCAAAAGGATTATCAGCCTTACCGTCCTGTCTTCCTAAGGATTATCAGCCTTACCGTCCTGTGTTCCTGCATTATCAGCCTTACCGTCCTGTGTTCCTGCATTATCAGCCTTACCGTCCTGTGTTCCTGCATTATCAGCCTTACCGTCCTGTGTTCCTGCATTATCAGCCTTACCGTCCTGTGTTCCTGCATTATCAGCCTTACCGTCCTGTGTTCCTGCATCTACTATAAAGATACTGGTACCGAGCTAGAACGACTGTTACACCTTTCCTTTCATACCAGTTAAGTCTACCGTGCTTGGTGTTAAAAATGATAATAAATGGCCACCCAATAAGAACCAAGAGGAGTGTGTACAAGACAGTACGGTACAGTGTATTGCGCATACTTAGCATTCTGTACAGGCTTGATCACCACATCGTTGGCTTCAAGGTCGATATCACAATGGTGATGCTGAATACCAAGTCCTCGCAGCAGAATATCCTACAGTGGTGCGCACACGTGCAAGACAAAATAGACCGAGCAGAACAGTTGGAAAACATACCAGACAACATTGTTGACACGGTATATCCCATACCAACACTGCATAATACTTGACAGCTAGACTAGGTTGATGCTTCAGCTATCAATATTTATCGAAACGAAACTCCCCGCGAACCACCCACCCATACATGAAACTTCTTTTTTTCTTTTTCTTTATTTTCTTCGTTTCATCGATAATTATTGACACCCCTAACTTACCCTGCAGCCTGTACTCCAACCAGGTACAGGTACATGCAACTACAGTGTATATCCAGTGCATTTACTTAGCAAGAACATTTAGAAAACATTATCTACAAAAATCACCAAACACAACCTGAGAAAAAGAACCACGCATGGAGATGCCATATCATGCCAGAATAAAATGCTGCCAGCCAAATTCAAAGTAGGCAAGGTGGCATGTGCGTAGTACATAGTATGTCATATCCACAACAAAGCTGTGCACTTACCGGCTGGTTGTTCGATCCACTCTTGCCCACTATTGTGTGATCCTGTGGCAGCACGGACAACATCACATCGCGATGATGTCACCATGACTTCATAGTCACTAGAACGTACACGTGTAGTCACAACAAACCCTGCAGCGAGTATTTGTGACCCATTCTCCAAGAATTACCCTGGAAACCCACTGCCTACTTCACCAGAAACTACAGACCAGTGTTGCTCAATGAAATCTGATCGCGTGAGTCAAGTTCACGTTCTGCACCAGTGCACAGCCCCGTGTTCACCTTCCTGGGGCTGTACACCGCCTGGCTTGACATTGACCCATATGATCGGACATCATTGAGCAGAACTACACAGTGTAAAGCAAATCACAGTGTAGCTGAGAAAAGAACTACTAGTATGATAAAAGAAACACGTGTTATCTGCTGATTGCTGACCTTCAAGTAGTACACCAGCATTTCGCTGAGAGACGGATCAGCATTGAGGTTGACCAGGTAAAAGCGACCAGACTCCAGAGCAATACCGGCTTTGTGCACGGAGATGCCCATGTTTTCAAGCGCCCGTGACCGCTCCTGAAAGCACCAAGCACCAATTCATCACGCATCAAATTCCCGCAACTATGGCAGGTGACAAAAATATTTAACTTAGTAGGGCGCAGAACATAGGATACGTAAAAGATGAGCATAATTAGGTAGGCTTAATTCAGCTACAAATCCAAAGAAGAGGAGGTTAGAATTTCTTCATTGAGCTTATGGGCTCCCAGTGAAAGAGAATCCAAATGGTGCCTGTTACATAAATCTGTTGTGAAGACAATGCATTTCTGTGAGAAGAAACCATTTCAGAAGAAAGGTGTGGAGGAGTTTCAGAAGCTCACATATTGTGCATCGGCGAGGAAACGTGGCATATGACCATGCAGCTGTTAGTAATTCTACATCATATTATCATGGGTCCCAAACTCACCTCCGCAATCTTCTGCGTGTTGGCCAATTTCTGCTCCCAGGTCAGACTCATCTCCTTCATGAGGCGCTCAGATATCTGCAGCTTGTCCTGCAGCTCAGATATCTACACACAGGACAACGACGACGACGGCGACGGTGGCGGCAGCAGCAGCAGCAGCAACAACAACAACAAACAACAAATCTCTTATTGTCCACTGGCTATCGTGAGAATAAAGATTTGAAACAACAACCCTCTCGCATTAGCCGGGTGCATCAAAGAGAATGAAGACTTGGATACTAAAAAATGCCAGATACAACAACGTTATGTCGCTAGGTCGGGAGGGCACACAGAGCCGGAAGGACATGCCTAAGGCACGAGTCTACAGGCCAGCCCATCACCACTGGAACAACAACGGCTCATTTACAATACTATTCTGCCACTAACAAGATTCAGAAACCATAACCAACAAGAGACAAGTGAATGTTCTAAACAATTCTGTAATCCGTATGGTACGTAGCCCCGCCGATGAACAAGGTCAAGAGCCACAAAGTACCGTGCCGACGTACAGATATATTCGGGTGAGGTCTGGTGGGTGTAACGCAATCACATCTTACCTCGCTTGCAGATGCTCCGGTGAGGCCCAGAGCGGCATCTCCAGGCAACCCACCACCACCAATCATAGAACGTAACCGCTCCACTTCCTCGCGTAGTTCACGTATTACCTGCATGTCAGTCAGTGCACCACCAAACAAAACATGAGAGAGAGAGGAGGGGGGGGGGGGGGGGGGAGGGGGGGGGGGGAGGGGGGGGGTCACTATTCAGTTCGTACAGAAGCTTATGACGAAGAAATGGAAATGTGGTATTTGTCATCAGAATGATGAAGCCATTATAAGATAGCAGAGAGTAAAATAGAACAGGCTGTCCAAAGGAACAACTACATCCCAGCTGCAAAGCATGAAGTCTAGTCAAGTAATAGGATTCTGACGAAACCCGAATGCACGTACGGCAACACCAAGCCAGGTTGCATTCTCCATACCTTGGAGTTGGCATCCTCGTTGACCACGGCGTTGTTGACGATTCTCTTGGCACGGTCTGCATAGCGCAGCGTGGATAACGTCTCTTCATAGTTGTCAAGGGCAGGACTAATCGTGGCCACCATCACAGTTTTGCTGTTACCTCCCAAGTTATCCTACAGTATCAGCAGCGGATAGGACAAAAAGCACAACAACAACAACAACAACAAATAAGTTGAAAAACGTGTAAACCATCAAGGCATCAATACAAACACTAGAGGATAGTGCGTCCGGACCTGGCAATGGCTAGCAGAGGGCGGACAGCAGACCAAGAGTATTGGCACCATCATAAGTTCATAACCTCCACAATCATCCACAAACGTTGCACGTGTAAGTTACGCATACATTGCGTGTATTGCTCGGGGTCTCAACGAGGAGCAATGCCTGCAATCGTGATAAGCCACCACTCAGACAGCAGTGAGTGGGGTTGAGCAGACCAACAATACCTGGAAAGCAGTACATCATGAATGTACCTGTAGGTGACTACGTGGCATATGAACACAACGATACCACAAGGGGAAAAAGAACATACCTTGAGTAGCCAGGTTAGAACAGAATCTCGGTAAGGGATGAACGCCGTCTTGCGCTTGCCACCCGCCTAAGAGTGGACAACAATGAAAACAACATGTGATTGTGTCACAAAGCAGACAGAACAAATCTGAGGGTGAACACAAGAATAGAGAGTGGAGAGAGAGAGAGAGAGAGAGAGAGAGAGAGAGAGAGAGAGAGAGAGAGAGAGAGAGAGAGAGAGAGAGAGAGAGTGAGAGAGAGAGAGAGAGAGAGAGAGAGAGAGAGAGAGAGAGAGAGAGAGAGAGAGAGAGAGAGAGAGAGAGAGAGAGAGAGGAGAGAGGGAGAGAGAGGGAGAGAGAGAGTGGAGAGAGAGAGAGAGAATTGTAACTACTGTAAAACCAGAACGTTTCGGTGGAGATTTATTTTCGGTAACTTCAGTACAGGTAATGTTTACCTAAAATAAAACGCCACCTAAAATCCAACCATGCCATGCCACACAGTGTGCAAAATTCATTTTTGTATCTGGAAAACCGGTTTACCGAAATTCGCGCTACCGAACCGTTGATTTTGGGAAATACCGAAAATATTACACCACCGAAAATTCCTCGTTTTACAGTACACTCGGACGTCTCTTATCCGGGCACCTTGGGACCGGGTACTGCCCGTATCTCAGATTTGCCCATATCCCAGGATAACTCATCTACCATGTATCATGTCATTTTTTGAAGACGTTTATTTGACACGTATTGCCCATGTTCAGGTTCCAGAGAGAATCCATTGATAAAAATGTGTGGATTTCACAGGTTGCCAGTGACAAATAAGCACTTGCGCATACGAAAAACTTCAAACCCCCCAAATTCAAAGCATTTTTGCCATAGGAACTCAAGCTGAAGGTGCCCGGTAGAGAGACGTGCCCGTATCTGAGGCATCCGGATAAGAGACGTTGAGTGTATACAGCATGCAACTGATCACAGCCAGTGGCTTACATTGTCTGCCAGATTGGAGATGACGAGGCCGAGAGTAGTCAGCGACCTATCAGAGATAACGTAGAAAAAAAAGCAGAGTGGAAAGACCGCACTGTTAAAGAGCACAGCAGATACGAGCAACCAATGGCTACATTGTGGAGGAATTATCAGAATCAACACATTCCCAACAATAGCCACTTGCAGTGTGGGTGTTCATTAACTATACGAGTCAGTGTCAATGGCACATATTCGTTCACCTCACCACAAAAAGACAATACAGATAGAGAAAAGCGAAAGAGAGTGAGGGCCATATGTATAACAAAGAGCATACATGAGTTCACAAGCATGCCTGCTAGAGGACGGAGCTTTCCGTAAGCACTGATATTTGACCATGAAAAAGAGAACAAAACACGTGTGCGGAGCATTTTCGTAGACTCACTTGTTGATGTTGCTACCTTCTTTCAGTCGATCACCTTCGGCACCGGTCTTGCCAGCACGTTCACTACCAGCTAAATCCACTAAACTCAGCTTGCTAACCTTCTCATTTCCAGCCTGCAGCAAACACACACACACACACACACACACACACACACACATAGCAACAGAAACAGAGCTCAGCTGGCAGCGCTCAGAGAGCTCTACATCATTCAGCTTTTGAAGAGGTTTTCTGGCCAGTGAACCCCTACTCGTAGTAGGAATTCACAGATACACGTACTATGAGTGCACGCGCGCTCACACACACACACAAACACACACACAAGCAGTTCTTCAACAAATCGGTAGGCCACCTAGCAACTGGGGATTACCTGAGTTGCCGGGTCAAAGTATGTCTGCGTCATCAACAGGTTGAAGACGGCATGTGATCGGGAACTCTGCTCATTCATGTTGGTGGAAGCCACTGTACGCGCTTTGTTGCCGTCATCCATCAACTTCTCAATATCCTGTACAGGGGAAAGGAGACAACCCAGACCTAGTAAGACAGATCCTGGAGCATATGTGTGCCAGCTCCAAGTGCCAACATCAAGTGAGGAGTATGCCAGAGTATGAGTGCGTATGAAGACATGCCTTCGTGTGTGGGGGTTTGTGAGTGGGCTCGTTTAAAGATATCTTCCAATGCCCACCACTGGACGGCCTAGTATTATAGGTGTTTCGTAAGATTGATCATATCTTTATCTGCCTTGGGTCGAACCAGGGCCGACCGGATAAGGCACTAGGGCTGCTATGACATTTTTTTCACTACGTGGTAACTACGAGGTAACTAGTACAGAGCATACAGAGCACCCAGTAGTAGATCAACCACCGGGAGTCTCTCACCGCCCTCTTGGTGCTGGCTGGGGTAAGTCTGGTTTCACTTGCTGCAACTGTGGGGTATGCAGGGCATTGAAAAGACGTTGGTGTGATAGGAAACAGAGCACTCGACAAGAAGGTACTTACGACGAAAGAAGACACAGCCAGCTTGGACAAGCCATCCACGTACGGGCCCAGCACTTTGTGCTCGCGGACACGCAAATTGTGCTTGGAGCTGCACAGGAAGCAGATACAAGACAGAGCAGTGTCAGGAAACATCACTGTGCGTATCAGGGTGAACAGTCCTATACTGCATTTCCCATTAAAACAACTCCTGCGGTTGTGTGTGTGTGAGTGTGTGTGTTGTGTGTGTGTGTGTGTGTGTGTGTGTGTGTATGAGTGTGAGAGTGTGTGTGTGTGTGAGAGAGAGAGAGAGAGAGAGAGAGAGAGAGAGTGTGTGTGTGTGTGTGTGTGTGGTGTGTGTGTGTGTGTGTGTGTGTGTGTGTGTGTGTATGAGTGTGTGTGTGAGAGTGTGTGTGTGTGTGTGAGAGAGAGAGAGAGAGAGAGAGAGAGAGAGAGAGTGGTGTGTGTGTGTGTGTGTGTGTGTGTGTGTGTGTGTGTGTGTGTGTGTGTGTGTGTGAGAGAGAGAGAGAGAGAGAGAGAGAGAGAGAGAGAGAGAGAGAGAGAGAGAGAGAGAGAGAGAGAGAGAGAGAGAGAGAGAGAGAGAGAGAGAGAGAGAGAGAGAGAGAGAGAGAGAGAGAGAAGAGAGAGAGAGAGAGAGAGAGGAGAGAGAGAGAGAGAGAGAGAGAGAGAGAGAGAGAGAGAGAGAGAGAGAGAGAGAGTACGAGTACCAGCAAGCAAGCAAGCAAGCGTTGCACAGCACACTTGCAACAAGTTCACATGAATACTTACTTGTGAGCACCCAGTAGATCACGCACTTTCTCATTATAGATCTCCATATAGGATACCTCTACCTTGCATGTTAACCGCGGGTCTCCTTCCTGCAAATGACAAATAGGCCACGAAAATATTAGCGAGCAGCTCATTCAAAAGATATTTCCCGTGGAAAGATGACGAGTGGGCTGTTACTACTGCTACATTGTATAGGCATGGATGTACACGTGGCCTGCCGTCAAGTAAAATGGCCCTTGGCTGGTCCCAAGCAGCGCGCAACTCAGGACACACTGCACCGTGCGGCAGACAATGGCAATGATCCCTATCAAACACATGAAGGCTACCGGCCATGGCTTGGCGCAAGTGAATTACCCACTAGTACATGTACTACAAGTAGTAGCGCACAGCAGTTCAAGCCCCTTGAATCGTTGACAACTATTGCATCACCAGCGTGAGTGAGAGAGAGAGAGCAATACAGGTAATGTGGTAATAAAGAGGTTGCGCACAACGACATTCATAAGATTCTGCCGTAACGGCTTGGCCTAATAAAAGTTGTGCGACGGAAAAAGGGCTGGACAACGAAAATTACTTTCGTTGCAATCACCGTACTACCACACAGAAATGTACGACACCTGCATTCTGTCGTATACTTAACACGTGCATGCCTGACTATCGAGCTTTATTTCCCGTACTCCAAAAAAACTTGGAAGTTTCCATTTTCGCAAGCTCCGAATCAACCGATTATTCGTAGCCTTTTCCGTGGTTGCCTGATCCAGCGAACACTACGAAACTGTTCTCTCTCTCTCTCTCTCTCTCTCTCTCTCTCTCTGTCTCTCTGTCTCTCTGTCTCTCTGTCTCTCTCTCTCTCTCTCTCTCTCTCTCTCTCTCTCTCTCTCTCTCTCTAATGATGTGGAATTAAGTCGTGTCCAGGGCATGATGTGTGAAGCACATAATGCATGTGTTCAGACAAGCACAGGGATTAACAGTGCGTGCATGGGAGATTAATTGCCGTACCTGCTTGGCTTTAATGCGATCAAAGATCGTATCGCATAGTTTAGGAATGACTCCCTTGTCGCTAGGTGTGCCCATCATTGTGTAGGACTTGCCAGACCCTTCACCAAGAGGCAAGTGGACAGAGAAGAGACAAACAGAGTACGGGTCAGCCATACAGAACAGGCAGCATTACTACAACTACAGTGCATTTAAACATACTTGGTCCGCGTCAGCAATATTGTCGCTTATCTTTCGACAATTTGAACTTAGCCTTTGGACATGAACGCGTGCACTTGAAGTGATAAAACTTGGTACGATGGACCGTAAGGTATAGAGTGACAACTAGCTGTGAGGAATTTATTGTCCAAGGAAGGGTTCCAACTTTTTTCGGTCCTCCTCCTCGCTGCTCTCGGCGCTGGCGACAAATAGTTTTGCTCGGGATCGACTCTCTTGCTTTTTCAAGCTCATCTCTCTTCCTCTCCGCTGCCTGGCTATTTTCTAAAGAGAAGTCAATCGTGACGGTCGCCTTCTCTATAGGACTTCGCGTGGGCGGCACGACAGCATGTGTGGTTCGAATCAGACGCCGTTCTTTGCAAGATTTTATTTTGAACGACGACGCCGACGCGTACAGTACTTGCAAATCTCCACGACGCTCTGGATACTCCGAGCGTTGAGCTGGAGGTAAGAGCTGCGATCTCAGCTTGACGAGCGATCCCTGAGGTGAGCGATCTCGGCCGTTCAGCAAAATGGAGCTGATTCCGAGTAACGGATTACTTTCATGTGGCTTGCGCTGCTCTTGCCTGCACAGCGTAACAAGATAATCTATTTTGATGCGGCGCTGTATCAATCAAAATCACCCACCCGTCGCTCTCGAAATCCACTCGAACTCTAGCTAGACCTTTCAGGCACTAGTAACCTAACTAATTATTCCCGTAGCTATGCAGAAGACGTTACTTCAGTAACGTCTGGCGCTAGCCAGGGTCCACACAGCTTTAATTTGGTGTTTGTTTGTTTGTTTGTTTGTTTGTTTGTTTGTTTGTTTGTGTCACACTTGGTGCTATCCCGTATCTGTCCTGTACCGTACCGTACCAGCACAGACAGCTGGCCACAATATTATTTGTTTGTTTGTGCCATCAGCATGCCCGGCGCTATCCCATACCTGTCCCGTACCATCAAGAGTACGGTACCATCAAGAGAATGAGTATATATAAGAAGTGTATGGGGGAATGCATTCAGGCCGATAGTGCAGTAGCATCTTGTGTGGATTTGTGTGCGAGGCCGAGATCCCACTGGCAGGCTGGCTGGGCCGCCTGTCGACCAGCCCGGGAATCGCATGTAGGCCGATAGCATAATAATTATAACGTATATAGATGTATAGCAGAGATTCGTATTATGTAAACGACTCCCTGCTGTATAGGGAGATTTTCTGGAAAGAAATACGAAGTAGGGAGACGAGGAAATGCTATTAGAATGGACTTTAGTTGCCGAATAAAAGACAGGATGCGTCAGCAAAAACATACTTTGTAAGAGAGATCCCGTCATCTCCAAAATAATCCTGAACGGGCGAGTCAGCGCCGGTTACAGGAAACGTCGGAAGAGAGATCCCGTCGACTCCAGAACGTCCGTGATCGGCAGAGTCAGCGCCGGTCACCAGGGATGTGCGGATAATGCTCGAAAAGGTGGCAGATGCTGCTCGAAAAGCAGTGAAATTGGCAGAACCATACAAACCTTATGGCGGGCAATTCCTCGAATTCTGCTCCATTTCTTTATCCACATACCAAACATGCATGAAACGAAAAAGTACCGAATTCTGCCAATTTTTCTGCCGGAATTATCCGCATATGCCTACCGGTCACAGGAAACGTCCGGACAGATATAACTTCGACTCCAGAACGCTAGCCAGGGCCATCACAGCTTTGACACGTTACATGCATGATAAGCAAGCAAAAAAGCATAGCGTAGGGCCCTGAGCTTCCAAGCTCTCTCGTTCCGGTAGCTATGCAGAAGACGTTACTTCAGTAACGTCTGGCGCTAGCCAGGGTCCTCACAGCTTTAATTTGGTGTTTGTTTGTTTGTTTGTTTCATTGTTTGTGTCACGCCTGGCGCTATCCCGTATCTGTACCGTACTGTACCGTACCAGCAAAGACAGCTGGCTACTATATGTTTGTTTGTTTGTGCCATCGACATGCCTGGCGCTATCCCCTACCTGTCCCGTACCATCAAGAGTACGGTACCATCAAGAGAATGAGTATATATGCGAAGTGTATCGGGGGAATGCATTCAGTGCAGTAACATTTTTTTTTTTTTTTTTTTTTTTTTTTACGAGAAACCACGAACCTCGAGAACAGAATACTGCATGGTAGAGGTGGTTGCAGACGCAACTGTGGTGGTGAAAACTGGAGCATCTCCGCCGACCTGAGGTCTCGGCTTCAGCGACACTTCAGAGCACCAAAAACTGGGGAGGAGTAGGCACAGGGGGAGGGGAGGGGGGGGGGTACATTTATATAGAGGAAGGAAAAACGGAAAGATGATACATGTGATAGAGGAAGAAAAAAAAAAAAAAAAAAAAAAAAAAAAAAAAAAAAAAAGAAATAAATAAATAAATAGAAAAGGGGGAGCCAGGGTGCAAGCAGAGAGGGTGTTCAGGGAGTGTTCAGAGGGCATCTGTGGCTGAACGCCAGTCTCGGCTGCGGAGCGACTTGTAGGCGCCTTCCTTGAATGCCTGCATTCCCTTCTGCGTGGGAAGGTTGCGTAGCAGGGCAGATGGGAGACGATTCCAGTCTTGGATCGTGGCATGGGGGAATGATCGGAGAGCACTATTACGGGCTCCGGCGGGCAATGTCGGTGCTAGTTGGTGCTGGTGCTGGTTCTTTTGCTGGTGGCGAGTGGAGCGCCGGTGCTGGTTTGCAACTGCCCTCGGTGGTGTCATGGTGGTCAGGATTGGGGGACCGTCGATCCAATGCAGCTTGTACAGGAATGTGAGTGCTGCGACTTGACGCCGAACAGTGAGGCTTGGGAGGTATGACCCTGGGCCGATGAGCTTTAGGGCTCGGTGCTGTACCCGGTCCAGCTGGTTCAGGGTAGACTGGGACGCACCCAACCATGAAAGCGGGCAGTACTCAAGTACTGGGCGGACGAAGCCACGATACACTGCATACTTGGCCTTGCTGTCGAGAATGGGCAGGGCCTTCCTCATGAAGCCAAGACGTTGGTGACCACGGACTGCAACCTGTCGAATGTGGGAGCGAAAGGAGAGGCTCCGATCAAAGAGCACTCCGAGCAACTTCAGCTCCTCCACTTCCTCTATGGCCACCCCATTGAAAGTGGCTGGAGGAATCGGCCAGGGTTGACGGTGATGCGAAATTGTCAAGACTTGCGACTTTGTCGGCTCGAATGCGATCTTCCAGCTCTGGCCCCATTCAGCTAAGGCATCCACAGCAGTCTGGAGCTGCGCTAGGCCAACTGGGAGAGCGGTCAGGGATGGGATGCACTGATAAAGCGTGGTGTCATCTGCATATATGGCGAGCTGGGTTGTGGCTGGGAGGTGGTCCTCCATGTCATTGACATATAGGAGGAACAGAGTGGGGCCCAGTATGCTCCCTTGCGGCACACCTGAGCTGATTCGGAATTTAGGTGAGGTTTGTCCACTCACAACGGCCTGGATTCGTCTATCCGCCAGGTAGCTGTGGAGCCACTTGAGGAGGTTCCCGGACACTCCGTAAGCCTTTGCCTTGTGAAGGACACCTGCGTGGGAGACTTTATCGAAGGCCCCCGCAATGTCGACGGCAACAATACGTACAGCACCGCCAGCAGCTGCTATCTTGCTCCATTGGTGGTGTAGTCCTGTTAGGAGATCAGCAGGTCCTAACCCTCGACGAAAACCGAACTGGTGGTTTGAGAGTATATTATTTCGTTCGAGAAAGTTGGTGAGAGCACGGTTAACAACTGCTTCCATTGTCTTGGAGATGAGCGACAGGAGGGAAATGGGCCGATAGTTCGATGGGGCTGACTTTGACCGTTTCTTATGGACTGGGACGACACTTGCCACTTTCCAAGACTGTGGTTGTGTCCCCGACGTCATGCACTGGCGGAAGAGCAAGCATAGTGGCACTGCAAGGTGCTCAGCGTTGGCTTTGAGGACTCTGCCCGGAACTGCATCAGGGCCTGACGCTTTCGAAGGATCAAGGGCCCTCAGCAATTTACGGACCTCAGCAGGGCGGAAGCGAATACTTAGGAGACGGCTTTGGGAGCGAGGCTGGACAAAGGGGAATTCAGATTCCTCATTGAAGTCCTGTGGGCCGAGGCTGCACTTATCGGCGAAGTACTGACCAAGGCACTTGGCCTTCTCCTGACTGGTTGTGTACTCAGTTCCATCAGCAGATCGGAGTGTTGGTATATCAGCGCTGCGGCCCTTGCCACCCGCACGCTTGATAGTGGACCACCATTCCTTGTCCCGAAGGCTACCAGTGGTGAGTTTCTGCCGGAGCATGGTAATATGCCGTTCTCTGTTTCGCTGGATGGTACTGCGTGCAGAGGCTGCAGCTGTGCGGTAGTGTGCTTTCTTATCAGCACTGTCGGGATTTGAGCGCATCTGGTGCCACATCTGTCGCTTGGTGTTGACTGCAGCTGTACACTCCGGTGTCCACCAAGGTTCGTCGGAGGGGCGCGATGAGATAACTCTGTTGGGTATGAATTGTGCCATTCCTTCGAGGATCCTCTTGGTGATGTTGTCGCAGCTGAGATCCGGTTCAGGTCCGAGCATGCTCTCCCAGTCTGTTGTTCGGTAGAAGTGGGCAAGCCGCTCCCAGTCTGCGCGGTGGTATCGCCAGACTCTACGCGATGTCTTGGGCTCACGGGTGAGCTTCACAGGAAAGTCAACTTGGAGGACAGCATGATCAGAGAGTCCAATAGGCGGGTGTGCCTTAACAGTTGCTGGTGAAGGGAAATCAGACATCACCAGGTCCAGGGTGTTATCACCTCGGGTGGGTACGTCGACATGTTGACTCAGGCCATGGTAGCAGCAGATATCCTCTGCATACTCTCCAGCTCGGGTGGTCTTGTTGCTGCAGAGCCAGGCAGCGTTATGCACATTGAAGTCGCCGGCCACAATGACATTTGATCCGTAGGTACGGGATGCCTCCAGCGTGTTGTCCAAGTATTCCAATAGCTGGAGATCTGTCTCCGAACAGGACCCGGGCCGATAGGCTGCACAGATAACAACTTTCTGTCCACTCTGCGTCGTGACACTCAGCCAGATGATCTCGTGATCATGGCACTGGATGTGATCGAGATGTTCATATCCTAGGCCAGCCTTCACCCAGACTGCTACTCCACCACCGTGTGCAGAGCGATCCTTGCGGATGGGGGTGTGATAGCCAGGCATGGCTGCTTCAGATTCGCTGCACTTCTCTGGCGTAAATTTTGTCTCTGTGACTACTGCTATATCTGGCTTCAGGGTCTGGAGGGTGTGGCGGAATTCTGCAAGCTTGGACGATAGGCCAAAGGCATTCGTCACCAAGAGTCTGAACATCGTTGGTTGGCTACTGGGCATCGTGCATGCTAGACGATCCCTTGAGGGCACCAGACGATCCATCAGTGTGCTGGAACTCACCAAGTTTGGATTGCAGTCCTAAGGCATTTGTCAGCAGGAGCGTTAGGCTTGGGGGAATCATTTGGATTGCTGCTCAGTGCGTTCCTTAAATCGCCATGGCCTCGCGTACAGGGGCCTTGGCCAGAAATTCTCAGTTGTGACCAGGGTGAGGTCCTTAGCGTCCACAGTTAGGTGGGCAGACACTCTTCCTTGTGTGGATTTATGTGCGAGGCCGAGAACCCACTAGCAGGCTGGCTGGTCCGCCTGTCGACCAGCCCGGGGATCGCATGTAGGCTGATAGCATAATAATTATAACGTATCAGATTGAGTAATTATAACGTATATACAGTCATGGAGATCTACAGCAGGGAGTCATATTATGTAAACGACTCCCTGCTGTATGGGGAGATTTTCTGAAAAAAATACGAAGTAGGGAGACGAGTGAATGCAATCAGAAAATCTCCCCATACAGCAGGGAGTCATATTATGTAAACGACTCCCTGCTGTATGGGGAGATTTTCTGAAAAAATACGAAGTAGGTAGACGAGTAAATGCAATCAGAATGGATTTTAGTTGCCGTCAGTATAATAAGAAGAAGCACGCTCGTGATCGGCAGAGTCAGCGCCGGTCCCAGGAAACGTCAGGACAGACATCCCGTCGACTCCAGGACGCCCGTGATCGGCAGAGTCAGCGCCGGTCTCATAGCTATGCAGAAGGCGTTACTTGTACTTCAGTATCTCATTGAAACGTTTTTGCAATACAATGATGTAGCTAATCAAGGGAAAAAGCATTTCCATCAGTTCTAACAACATGCACGATGAGCTAGGCAACAAAGCATAGCGCAGGGCCCTGAGCTTCCAAGCTCTCTCGTTACTTGCTAACTAACTTGCTAACAAAAATTGGGATGCAATGGGCTGCCAAGTAAGCATTGGCGACATATAAACAAAGCTGAAAGATAAGCGACGATATCGCTGACGCGGACCAAGTATAGACCAAACGTGGTGTCAATACGGGCAATCTGCCGCATAACCCTTTTTCGGAGGGGAAGAGGGGGTCTGATTTCTGAGCACGAGTCTACGCCCTTTATTTATCACAACAAACAATCAGATCACGTCAAGGGTAAGTTTAATAGTAGAAGTGCTTCAGCTATCTCTGCTATCATAGGACTTGGACTGAACCCACAGGGCAATGTTTAAAACCCATGACACACATCTGATACACACCCAGCAAAGACAACTTGCTGACAACACAGTGCAATGACCACGGACAGACACACTATTGCACTGACCTGTTTGTCCATATGCAAATATACATGCATTGTAGCCGTCAAAGGCATTGTCCAGAATGTCAGCTCCCAGACACTCAAACACTTGCTGTTGACCTGTACGCACATACGGAAGAAACGCGGTAACAGTGATATCACAGGTGAGCAAATCAAGAAACGATGTAACAATGATATCACACAGCCGAACAAATCAAGAAACAGCGTAACTATGATATCACACAGGCGAACAAATCAAGAAACAACGTAACAATGATATCACACAGGCAAGCAAATCAAGAAACAACATACAGTCATCCTACTCTATTCTTGTCCTGTCTCGAGCACAAAATCACAAAGTACTCTCGGACAAAGCCGTGGTGCAGCCCTGCCGAGGAACACCGACGTTGAATAAGGTACTAGTATGCATCATCAGCAGTCCAGTACATAAGCAGGCAACATGACTCACTTGAGAACTTCGGATCTGCTGCATCCATAGACCAGAAGCAGTAGTCAAAGTTGAATTTCTGTGCAGTATAACATCAGCACACAAGCAGGGCAATAAGATGATCAGATACTAGAACTTCACTGGCACCGCCATCAACATGCATTATGGACAGTATGCACACAGAGTCACATGTGCAGTGTGACTGCGAATGGCAACTGTGGAGTGCCACATACTATGCAACAGTGACGACTCGTGAGTAGAAGAATGGATATACACAAGTCACATGCAACAAGGAATAAGAAAGATGTCTCACCTTCTGGCCCTTCCTGCAACCACACAAGAGCACAGAAGAAAACAAGATAGGTAAACAATCAAACATTGAATCGGCGGAGGGAGGAGTGAACACATCGACCTCGTCCTACATTGATTGCACACGACAAATCAATGCTGAACAGATGAAGGATAAATAAGTACAGGTGTAGTAGTGACTTTACCAGAGAATGAATAATCACGGCAATGGGATATCCAGACTGACTGAACTCTCAGTGCAGTGAATCGCAGCGTGCAAGTATGTTTGTGCATGCATGCAACTCTAGAACATGCTGCAGTCTTTGCCACTAACTGGCAGTGTATCACATACTAAAATGTATTCACACACCCACACCCACGCCCCCCCCCCCCCCCCCCCCGCACACAAGTATTATAATAATACTCACGCGGCATGCTCCAGGAACGTCTGCTGCGGTGTCATGTCAATGCAACATGACGTATTCAACTCGACCTCTGCATCAGAGAAACCATACGGAGAGATACGCACAAACATGATTTCCATATAGTTATGCTAGTTTCAGCCCAAAAAGTCCCATCTCCACAGGCAATTCTGAAACTCTCCAGCCTAACAACCTGACAGTTTATTTTATTCCTTTTCAGGATGATCAAACTCCACTGCAGCCAATAAGTCAATCACTGACACTCCGTTGAACCGGTCTCTACACTGCGTTCGAAAAACAAAAAAGAATTATCCAAGAAAACAAGAATCTTAATCACGACCAGAAAAACGATGAACTGCAAGCTCTTATCAAAAAGAGATTAAACATTTGGATTGCACACACCAGTTTTGTGCCTCCTCTTGAAGTGAAGTCTTACAAACAACCAATACAAATACAAAGAGAGGATATAAAATATCACAATAGTGGAAACCATTACACAAAGTGATAAATTATATCCACCAATATATGGAGTGGAAAACACGAGGTGAGTAGTGCAACATAAAGGGAAGAGATCGCACCAAAAATACAAAAGTGCAGAACAAACACCCAAGGGACACTACTACTACCAGTGTGGCAGGGTGGGGTGACTGTGTGCAGCCTAAGTGAGATTGCACTTTCTTCTGCTCGCATGGCGATGGCTGTGTGGTGTGAATGCATACAACAACCGTCAACACCTTCAAATGATCAATACCGTACGTATGAGTATGTGATAGAACAGAGATGTGACTATCAGAGTACACGCAGGCGCAATGAGGATTCACAACAAGGTGACTATAATGTAGCAACAGATGAATCATACTCAAGATCAACAGAATGAACATTGACACATGAGCTACACGTAGGTGCGTAGCTAACTTATTACATGCAATTTCATTTGACTCGAACTTATTACATGCAATTTCATTAAACTCTGCCGGTGCTGATGTTGACAACCCTCCAATTTGTTTCTTCTTTCTTTTCTTTTCCAAACGCAGTATAAAGGAGACAGGTTCAACGGAGTTTATTCCTTTCTTGGTTATTTGACTGCAGTGACCGCTAAAGACAATAATTATCGACTGTACATGCGGCATGCGGTTTCGTGACCCAAACCGGTGTCGTGTGTTTGAGGAACTGCTCGAACATTGCATCAAGTACAGGCACCAAACATCATGTGATACAACTTTGGGGATACATCCGGTTCTACAAGAATATGCCCGGCTTGTATACCAAACCTTACGATAGTCCACCACACATTTCCACTTTTCTCTTTCTGACCAGGTACAGTGTTCCCTTCCACCAACTACAGTACAGCTGAAATGCATGGCTCTGTGACGTTAACACAAGTCCGCCAATGCACTGCACTTGGCCCGGAGTGGCAATTCACTCAGCACAAGAACAATCGTGCGTGTGTGTGTGTGTGTGTGTGTGTGTGCGCGCGCATGTTTCATTTTATCTTGAACGCTATTGTTGCTATAGTGTACTAGTAAGAGAGAATATGGGTGCACATCCAGTGCATTTGCCAAATTGCGTGCTCCTCTTGTGTGCTTCTGTTGTGTGCTTCTCTTGCGACGGGTGGGCGTACATGGTGCATTGTGTGGGGGTGGGGGTGGGCATGTGTGTATCTGTGTTATGCTCTCCTTTTTCCAATCATGTTGGACTACTATGATGCTGGTACTTCAAGTTCAAAGTAAAATTTGATGAACCCTCCAGTAATACATGGCAGTATTGGGAGTAAACTGATAGGCTGCATGTCAATGTTGAGAATGGCCACGCTTCTGGCAAAAAAAAGAGAAGGATGTATGACAGCTACGTGTCGTACACGTACATGATGTCCATAACTTTACTGTTGTTTTGTTTCAGTGGACATGCTGCACTAGCACCTAATATCGCGAGACCACCCCTGGATGGATAGGGCCAGGCCCAACGGGTGGCGCCCCAGAAACATGAGCACCAATCAATCTGCCTGGTTGGAAAAAACAGCATCGACCACAAAACCGGCATCTGCGCCGAACTACGGAATTGGAAAAATTACTTCCGAGTGGTCTGAACGAGATAAGACTTTTGTATTTTACGAAAATATCGTATGGACGTTTGAAATTGTGCCACACCACAATACAAATACAGAAAGAAATCTACTTGGCTTCGCAAGCAGCAGTAATCAACACACTTACCTCGCCTGTTCATGGGCCGCACACGCACAGCTACTTTGACCTTCGACATGATGGCTTTCCCAGCACAGGAACCTATGCGCTGCCACAAATTTCAAATCGCCAAATCCGCATCAGGGTGCTTGGGTCCAGTGATAATCGCCTCTGCCACACCGACCTAACTACGTTTCCTACATGGCAGCCGCGCCTGGTAACGCTGATTCCAACAGCGAACAGCACGCCGTCACCGCTGCGGTATCCTCTACTCCTACAACTACACAGACGACGCCTTCAAAAATGCATCACCTCTGTCAAGAAATTATATTTTTAGTGAAACTTCTCAACCTGAGCAGAAAGTAGAGTTGGGCGGTAAATAAACTGAATATGAAGAAATAACTGAGCATCAGCATGAAATAGTAAATGGGCTAGTTGAAATATTTCCTCTTGGGCCATGAGCTTGATGACAGGAGCTGCAGAGAGTGAGCCCGTCGAAGATCAAACGAAAAATAATAATTGAAAATGCAGTTGCTACGCCAAACCTCGCTTGAATGCCAAAAATGCAAGCACACAGCAAGGACGGTGCATGCAGACTCTGCAGTCAAACTCAAAGCTGCTCCAACTCTAATCTGGCTAAAATCAGGAAAACGCGTCACCCATTTCTGGCGTCTTTAGGTTAATTTTTCATGACACGCTCGGAATCGAAATCATGATGAGTGTGTCATCATCATGGCCATGTGATTCGTATCATTCTGACATTCATTCAAAACAACAACTCTCTGTAAAATGCGTAAAATCACCTCGTACTATTGTCTGTACTGTAGACAGTAGTCACTATATAAAAGTGTAAAGCAAAGTAAATCAGCATAATATCAGATGTAAATGGATCCCGGAGAGCATGACCCCGAGCCTGTATTGCGGAGACGTGTCGAGTTTCCTGAAGAATTCAAGGAGCAAATCCGTCAAGTTATAATCGAGGAGGAGAGCAAAGGTAGTGCAAATAAGTCTGCATGCTGTGCATTATCCAGACTTCAACACGATATTGACAACATTTTACAATGTGTAGTACACTACATGTACATGTACTGTACATGCTTCGATCATATACATGTAATCGCAGTTGAATGAGAATACTATTGTTTATAGCTAGCACACTCTCTCAGTCTGCTATTTTTTTTAAACATTTATACCAAGGTTGACCTCTACAAAATATGCACTGGTGTTTTGGTAGTCAAAATAGCAATACACGCACTTCTGACTACCATTTTTGCAATAGCAGGAAAATGGACAAATCAGATGATTGTGAAAATGGGTTATTTGATACCAAAAGAAATTTCATTTCAGGGAACTGCATATGGGACATATTAACGAAATGAAAAGACCTCTGACTCATCTCAGCGGACACTCGCCGATTACCGTATTTTACCGGTTGTAAGTCGACCCCGGTTATAGGTCGACCCCCGTATCCGGAGGTCTCAATTCTGCGTTTTAAAGTTTTCACCCAACGAAGCACTACCAACCACGCCCTGCTACTAACACATCAACAAATCATGTAAACATTCCTTATTGGAGGGTATAAAGTCCCAATCCTTGAAAAAGGCCAATAAACTGGCAAACATGTGTACACATGGTGCGCTCATGCATGCAGGGCAGGTCATTTTTTGTAAGATTCTGATAGTTCCCGGTTATAAGTCGAATCCCGGTTGTAAGTCGACCCCCACCCTTTCTCCTTCTATTTTTAGTCGTAGAAGGTCGACTTACAACCGGAAAAATACGGTATCTACTAGTATACCGAGAGAGAGAAAAACCCTGTATGCAAACCGTATCCTGTTCAATGAGTTCATTTCCAGAAGTAGATTTACCGGTATGCGAATGACAGCACTGTACAAAATGACATCATCGTGCAATACAACTTACTTCACCGTATAAGGAAGTGTATGTACATGTGTATGCTTTGTATGGGTGGCAAAGTAGGGTGCGTTTGGTTGGTACGAACTAGAACAGGATTCACCAGAACAGTGCGTTTGGTTGGGACTGCACCTATTCTGGGTCGGCCAGAACATGTTCTGCTTGCTCCGGCCTCGAGGCCGGAGCAGACCGAGCAGTTTCACTTTTTCACAGTGAAACCTGGCGGGAACATCGATTTTGGTCCCAAATGATCACGTGCATACGCTTTTGGGTTGGATCGTTGTACCGTACAAAGTGACCATGGTGACCCATACGCATTTTGAAGAATGCACCAAGTTTGGCACATTTTTCGCAAAAAATGTGCTCTGTTTCTGGAGTACCGTTTGGTTGACATGAGGCTGCTCCATGTGCACCAGCTGTTCGATCCTGTTCTAGATCGTACCAACCAAACGCACCCCTAGTGTTTGTGATGCAACTGCATGCAAAACACCTCAACTGATGGCGCAGGCGTTAATTATGTACATACCGCGTTTTCTAGAGTATAAGCCGCACTTTAGACACCGGTAATTCACCCGAGAAATCAATGTGGTTTATACTACGATGGTCAAATCAACCGTGATAAACACGGTAGATGTCTGTATTTCGTGACGAAAAAATCTGGGTGTGGCTTATACTCCAGAAAATACGGTAGCCTCTGACCTCATCATGACCCTTTTCTGGTTTGTGTCACTGAGCTCTCTTGCTTTGATGCTTTGAGGCTATTTGTTGTTGACTAGGCTTCATTGTCACTTTGAGCTCCAACTCCCATGAATAGTGCTGTATAGTGTTGTACATGTATAGTGTTGTATGTTTGTGTTCAGTGTACTCCTCTCCATGCTGAAGATTCCCTGTACATTCTATGTACACATTGCAATTCTCTGTTGTTCATTCGACTTCATTACGATCGATTCGGCCAATAACTCTGAGGTCCGCTGAGGAGACCTAATAAGGACAAATCAGCATGCTGTCCGGAGATGGAGTACACATTACACTGTATTGTATTCAACATACTGCATGTACACACTACACCACTACACAGTGAGTCATTGTTTGTGACAACTCTGATGCCGACTGTGGTATGTTATGTGCTGATTTCTCTCCCGATCTCTGCACGCAGCGAAACGGCCGAAATCGTATGTGCTGGCATTTCTGGAGGCCGGTGTGTGGGTGGCCATAGCATCTCTGATCATCATCTACACCGATTTCTTTGAGGAGGTGCAGACAAGTCCCTACATAAATAGGTAAGAGTTTTACCTTTCAAGTGACGTCTGCAGCAAAGACGGTAAAATAAAGTGTTTGGATTGAGGAGACCTGAGATTTTAACGCAGGAGTAGAGTTGGATGCTCAAGAAGACCTGCCTTGCCTAGAAACATTTTAAAACAGGTTGCGTTCTGTTGTGAGAACCTCGTTGAATGTATCCTGCATCATTCCATCATACTTCCAATGAAGTACTTTTACGGTGAAAGTTGTTGAATAAGAACCAAGCCTACAATCTTGGCTCTGCGTCACCGATATGTTCACAGAACGATACCGGCACCCCGACAGGAAGTGAAATATTTCTACAATGTCGACTGTGTACATCTATGCTCATTTTCTCTGCCTCCAGCGGCTCCCATGCTTGCTGGGCACAAGTGACTTATCCTGGTAGAAAGACAGTGACGTTCCGGCTCTGTGCCCACTATCATAGTCCATGATCATACTCTCTCTATGATAGTATGTGTACTACTATCATTGTGATGTTGCAATAGTTCCACTGTCAGCCCGAACATTCGGATGGTTGAGATTGTGCTTGCATGTGCTTCAGGTTATTCAGTGATTTTAGTACACCGTGTGTTGATTTATTGTTGAAACTTTACTGTCCCCTTGCTGTGTGTGATAGATTCTACTTCAACCTGGGTCTCTTCTTTATCAGTGCGTTTTCGGCCATTGGTGCGTATGCCATCGTGTGGCTGTCATGGATCAAAGGTGACGAGAACTGGGAGCGAGTTCCCTCGCTGCTATTCCCGACTGCTGCCTTCTGCATATTGGCTGGATTAATATGGTACGTAAACTCGTAAAGACAGTTGTGACAACTGCCAGGGAATTGCTCAATGTGGCAGGGTGCAGGGCGCTATGTGTGTGGGTGTGGGTGTGAGAGAGAGAGAGAGAGAGAGAGAGAGAGAGAGAGAGAGAGAGAGAGAGAGAGAGAGAGAGAGAGAGAGAGAGAGAGAGAGAGAGAGAGAGAGAGAGAGAGAGAGAGAGAGAGAGAGAGAGAGAGAGAGAGAGAGAGAGAGAGAGAGAGAGAGAGAGAGAGAGAGAGAGAGAGAGAGAGAGAGAGAGAGAGAGAGAGAGAGAGAGAGAAAGGACGAGAGAGAGTGGTCCAACAGATTTTTTTAAAAGAATGTTCATGCCGACGCAATCATCAGACAACTGAAGTAAAAATGAGGCTCACTACATGGACTGCAGTATCCCTCTTTAGTCCAGCACTATTGGTGCGACGAAACTTCTGCTGGATAAGGGAAGGTGCATTGTCTTGATTAGAGATTCTAATCGGATGACCTTCACTGCTAAAGAAAATCGGAAGAACGCCCAGTGGACTCGCACATAGTACAGTGTCCACCAGGGAGTACCAAAAAAACAGGGTTTTTTGGTACTCCCTGGTGGACACCCAACTTCCCGTGAGATCTGTAGTGGGGATGAACATTGGGCGAAGCCACAGATAAAACAGCGATGATACTCAGTAACTCCTGAGGACCATTATTTGTGCATCATTGCCCTGTGGACTAGAACCACAATTTCCGTTTACTCTGTCCTAGTGCTTGCTGCACGCCAGTTGTAGGCTGCTTTCTGAGTTGTGAGTGATGAGGTGGTCACGACATCTAATCCCATCAAATTGTCGAATTGACGAATAACGAATACAGAAAGTTGATCGTAGTAAATGACCCGCTTTGTATCCCAGCTGACTAGCTGTGCATCATGCGTCACCTTATAAAACAATCCTGACATGCCACTCATCTGCTGGCTGGCCATTAGTGACGTTTGTTTCGTTTCATTTCGTATCTGTGATGCGTGCATGCGTGCGTGTGTGGTTGCATGCATGTGTTTCTTTGTGACTGTGTGTTGTTTTGTCACACGTGTGCAGTACCACCATTGGCCTATGGTCTCTCTGGTCATGGCTTTCACCGTTCATCGTCTTCTTCGTCATGATGGGATTCTGCATGCCATTGTCAGTTGTATAACAACCCCTGCTGCCATCTACAGTTCAATATTGCCAGATGTCCGGAGTGCCAACTCAGGACTGGAATAGCTGCATAATTATGAGGCAAAGTTCATAAAAGTATAATTCTATTGATCCTCATGAAACTCTGTCCTATAACCTGGATTCAAACCATGCCCCATGTACTTGGTACATGTAACTATGTTTGGCCTTATCTTCGAGACCATAAATCACTGTCATCATCAAACTCATCACCTAAGAAAACAAAAAAATGTCATATTCTACACTTCCTGTGTACTCGCTTCGTTCTACTCCCCTGCGAGTTGATGGAGTGTTATGTATTGTGTTTGTGTTTAGTTTGACCGACGCTTTAGCCAATTTGAATTATTAGAAGTTTTTTATTAGTTTTTCAATACATTCCGGTTCGCTTTTTAAGTGTACAAGTGTGCAAACCAGAATGCTACCTATATTGTAAAAAATGTACTCAAAGTATCTCCTTTAAGTTTAACACGCATAAGTGCATGCAGGCAACATGAAGCTCTGTCATGCGCGAACAGGCCAACTGGCAGCGGTTTATTTTTGCATGCAGGCAGCTGTGCATCATGGCAGTGAATTAACAATGTTGAAATAGTTTCAGAACATGACTGGTCTTTTCCACTGGCCTCGGTACTGTAGCAGGGCTACAATTGATAGGAAACAATTCTGCCCTGAGAACGGCCACTGAACACGTGGACAGGCTTGCATGCTCGGCAACTGTTACCTACCTGTCACTATTCCCCAATTGCCACAGGCGAGTAGCTACCAGGAGTAGGTTTTGAAAATAGACAACAACATTCTAAAGGCTGCTCCTGAGCACCACACCAGTGTGCCCAATGAGCCCTCCAGATTGTCAGCCTTGAGGGCAACACGCTGCATTGCAAGTTGGGAGCTTGCAAACAAGCCGCCTGCTGTACACTGCGGCGCACCCAATGAAAGCATTATGTGCGTAGGAATTTGGTCTTGTATCTATTGGATTTCCCTTGCATATCTCGTGGCAGATATGGCACAGGCACAACATGTATGCTGTCATGAACTCCAACTGCCATTACTGGATGAAAGCGAAAATAATACTGTACTACTTGAAAGTCTGTATGAGAACTTGAAAATAGTTCATAAATCATCGAGATTTTCGTCAAGAAACAATTGAGTGCCACTACAATAAAGAACCAGTAGGTCTTCACTGTAGGCAATGGCATGATTAGAATTGCATCAGCATGCATTATTGTTGCCACAAAAGGCAACTGGCCCAAAACAGTAAGATTTTACAGGACAATTACTTGTTTCTTAAAAGTAACTCAGCGCTTGACGGCGATTAGAGCGAGAAGCAACTGAATAGAACGGTTGACAGCTGACAAGCCACCCTTTCTTTACGATGCAGTTATGTGCTGCTCATCAATTTTTGAATACCATTAGGTCGGGCTTTGTCGTCCAGCTCAATTTTCTCTGAAGTGAATGAAAGCTACCGGGACATACTATTGAAGATGAGGCATGACTGCGCTTTTTCAAAGTGCTGGCCCTGGAAAGATGCACCTCGCACTGCATGTATTTAGTTCCTTCTCTTGCCATCGATATCAGACACACTCCGTGTTGCCTTTCCCAGAACTGCACAAACCACCAAGAAAACAGGACAGCGAGATTTATGAGCCTCAAGTATTTTGAAGAAATTGGTCTGTCCCCAGCCACCATACACCTAGCAGAATAATGCAATAACTACGTACCATATTAATCCGGCCAGTGTGCAGTAGGAAGCAGTCGGGAATAGCAACGAGGGAACTTGCTCCCGGTTCTCATCACCTTTGATCCATGAAAGCCACACGACGTCACCGCACGCACGGCCATAGCTGAAACACACACTGATGAAGTCCAGGCCCAGGTCACAGTGAAGTAGAGTCTATAACACACAAAAAAAAGAGGGGAGAATAAGTGTTCACCTCACGGTGCTTACCAGCACTGAATGATCTGCATGGGCAGAGCTACGATCTTACAAAGAAGGCAGAACGACACTTTGCTTTTTTGCTATCCAAGTTCCAAGATTAGTGAGAACCGTCTACAATAAACCTGAGTGATATGAGTGCATTCATTCTTTGCTTGCTTGATCCGAGTGGAGTTTCGTCTTGCACATGATACCAGTATGTTGGGGAGTACCAACGGTTCTACTAGGACAGAAATGTTATGTAAAAGGACTTAAATATTGCAGCAAATGAACATGTCATAACACTGGCCTTCACTCCTTCGCACAAACTTGAAAAGTTAGTTTTTCTGGAGTCCAGACTTACAGTTTGGTGCGTAGTTGATCGGACGATGCTACGTCTTGCTGTCAAATACACTATTGCTGTACAAAAGCAGAGAGTGCGGATAACAATCTCGAGGTGCCTCTGCAATATCAGCCACTGAGATTAGCAATATCCGACGGTAGTGGAGTACGTGCAGAACACGTACCGGTAAATGCTTCGGGTAGATCAACAAGCTACCGGTACGTGTCATCTTCATACTATAGGTTTGTATATGAATAAACCCAAACATTTAAACTTGAATACAGTACGTGTACTTACGTACGCATGCTCTCTCCGAGTGTACTTACACATTCTCATGTGTTTCACGACCAAAACCCACACGCAAGTATCTTTGCATGTTCAAACTTCTACAGTTGAAGATAGCGGCTCATCAAAGCCTCACCCAGTTACGCACATGCACATGACGAATAATATGCAGGCCATGCGATAAGAAATCAGGGTCGTTCTGATATAATGTCCTGACACTTCTTCTATTGCTCGGACATGCCCGGACATACCATGTTGCCACACATGTCTTTGAAAGCCGACGTTTTCAAATTTCTTACTCAACGATGAAGGACAGCACGGAGTTTCTTCCCTGAAAATGCGCACTCGATTTCCAACATCACTTTGGTTCTACTTTTCCGCTTTTGAAGATCTTGGGCTCGTTGGAAAGCTCTTGATGAGAGAAATACAAGCCCAAACTCGCCGAGAGCACTACTTATTGTCCGCCACAAGGCGCTCCAAACGCGAGGCCAGTTCTAGAGGCTGAGACGAAATCGGTCTCCTTCACACCGTCATCGAATCTACACTACGACTACAGCTCATAATCAGAACTGCTCAATTTTTTTGTGGGAAGCATTAACCTTGCCATGGCTTCGCGCAATTACGCCGCACCGGTCCTGGCACGTGCTGCCAGTCCCCAAGCTGGGAAAATCCCATTTCACGCACTGCTGACTCGACTCGCAGCACGCAGCACAGAAAAAATGTTCCATCGATCGCCACTCACTCAAACTTTATGAGAGAGACCTGCTCGAGGCGATAGCGGAGAGTATTCTCCACCACCCCGACCCCTTGGTTGTTGAATTTGATCAAGATTTGGCCGGGTACCGAAAGTTTGACTGCACCCACGTATATTGAAATGCCCATGGAGTATTTTTTTTGTCTTGGATCGATCGGACATTTCGTCCGTCGCCCGGACATTTCGCCCGGACAACGGCCGAAAACGGTGGAAAATGTCCGACCATTATTTCATGCCCTGATATGCAACCACAGGTTACTACTAGCAGATCCCATGAAAGACATGATGAACTTAGCTTTACGCTTACCTTCACTGGTTGTTGGCACAGGAGAATATTATGCTCGCACTCCGCTATCTTTGGATGACCAGCACCAAGGATTTCCTGATAGATAGCATGTGCTCGAGCGTATAGAGGCATTGCTTTCTTCTGATTGGTCTGCAGAGAGAATAATGCAAAAGGGTAAGATAGAGATAGATAGATAGATAGATAGATAGATAGATAGATAGATAGATAGATAGATAGATAGATAGATAGATAGATAGATAGATAGATAGATAGATAGATAGATAGATAGAGAGATAGAGAGATAGATAGATAGAGAGAGAGAGGGAGTGGGGGGGGGGGGGGTAGAGGAAGAGGGAGATATATTAGCTCCCTATCACAGGAGGATTTCAGTGAGAGATGTGCCACCAAGTTAAATTCTGTGAAGCTAGGTGTTGTCGTGAGCTGATTCGAACTGTTTCACCACTACTCACATCTTGTCCTAAATTGCACAACAGTAACCGTTCTCCCCGGATGTTTCTGATTTTCAGCTGTCCATCATGACCTATCAGCAGAGCACGCTGCATCACTGCTCAAATCAACAGCAAGAGTCTGGCCCGCAGCGGCTACATTACCTGATGATAGTAGGTAGCAGCAAGGTCACAGAGTACTGACGCTACATTCAGGTGAGTCGGCCCAAAGCATTTCTCCTCAATTGACAGAGCGCGCCTAAATAGGACAAAACAAAACCCGCGGACGGAAGAAAAAATTGCCAGTCACCACCAGGACTCGAACCAAGGACCCTCGCATACTGCCAGTGATGCTCTACCACAAAGCTATGGTGTAACTTAGCCGTTATCCAAGCAGCGATCGTTCAACATTTTCTTCAGATACAGCTGAATACTTTTCAACTATTTTTTTCATCAACATCAGCTTCGCTCTGTTCATCAGCACAGCAGAGGTGGAAAGCAAGAAGAGCTACACTCACTTGTATAATGCCTGTGCTTCACTGTAGTGGCCCTGGAATGAGAAACCAAACACACACCAGGATAACCGTTGAAACTGGGAGAACCACAACTTGGATGCCTATTGACATCATCACTCTTAAAAGTTATTGACATACATACCGTACTTCCCCACATATAAGCCCATGGGCTTATATGGGCTTATAAGTGAAAATTTGCTACAAAAAAGATTTGTTGCCGTGTGAACATGTTCGGGTAGAAGCCCATGCGCTTATGTGTGCAATACAGGTTTGTCTGTGTCCTAAACAACGGTGTTATCACAATGCTTAGCAGTATATTCAGCTACCGGGTGCTTCACCAATAGTGTTCACATATAAGCACATGCGCTTATAATTGAGGGGTGCGCTTCTGTCCGGACATAAGCACATGCGCTTATATGTGCGGAAGTACGGTAACTGTTACTCAGCCAGCTGTTTCGACCTTTTTTGTTATGGTACCATCAGCGAGATTCAGAGCAACAGCTGCAGCTGATGGAAGCCAAGTCCTTATTAAAGTGAAGAAGAAAGAATCGTAGATCAGCTCAAACACAACACAATGTATCACTGTCTTGGGAACTCTCAGCAGAGAATATGAGTCACGAATATGTTCTGGTCCTAATTTTCTGAAGGCAGCAGTGACTCACTTAAAGAAAGCCTCGGATCATGACCACTTACCTGTTTTCGGTGTAGCACTGCTAGGAGATTTATAGAAGACAGTAGAGCCTTGTTAGATTGACTGCCATCCAGCACCTTCAATCATGGCATTAGCACCAGCAGTAGCGATGGTGGTGGTAGCAGCAGCACCAGTAGCAGCAACAGCAGCAATGAAGAAAAGTGCAAATATAGTGAGCGCGCCGTGCACATATTCTTACATGATCCCATCACCAGCAGTGATATGTAATGAGCTGCACCATACATACACATTACACCATACATACACATTACACCATACATACACATTGAATCCTCAGCGGCTTCATTAACTACACAGCTAGCTAAAGATGTATTGGAACTGCAGTTTATCACAGCATGGACCACAGAAACTGCAAGTGCCGGGACCAAACAATGTGTAAACTCTAGCTCAGTTCTGTTCGTACCTGCTGTTGGATTGAAATCGATTGCTCTAGGAGTGGCTCAGCTTCACTGTATCTGCACGCAGAAGAAATGATGAAAACCATCAACCTTTGTATTAGTGGTGTGCACGGGCAGTCGGGTACCCGTGCTACCCGTGAGGACCTCGGGTAGACGGGCACAGAATAGCACCCGAAAACCCGAAGTCGCAGATGACATCTTGTACAGTGCATGAGTACAAATTCATGTAATACTCTGCATGTCTACCCAGTGTGTAAGAGAAGGGGTGCATTGTGGTGTTACCATGGGAACATTACCCGATCGGGTACCCGTGCTACCTGTGGAAAACTACCCTAACCGGATACCCGAAGAAAATGCTACCCGACTCAGCCCTACTTTGTGTTGCAACATACCGCTGGGCTTACATTGTACACATTGTACATGCATAAAGGAGCAGTAAATTGAAGACTGCTTCGCACAAGAGAAAATAATCAAAATACACATTTATTCACAGAAAGATGATAACCACGATTAGGTTTGACCATAATTGGGTCGAAGTGTTTCAGATTTTTTGGTAATCCAGTATGGAAGTCTACGAGCATCCCTCCAAAAATGTACTAGCAGACTGAAGGAAATATTCTCGACCGGACTTCACGCATTTTGGCCAGTGTAGACATCTATACTGGTAAGTGTATCAATGGGCTGGTCTAAAACGTACTTCCCGCTGAATTAGAATAGGTTTTGAGCTTATTTCAGCCTAGATCAGGTTTGAAAAGCCCAGAGCCCAAATCGTATGCGGCACATCATCTCACGGTACAATCCATCTCTTCCTTTCAGGCAGGCGGGCAGGGCAGGGCAGGCAGGTAGTCAGGTAGTCAGGCAGGCAGGGCAGGGCAAGGCAGGGCAAGGCAGGGCAGGCAGGTAGTCAGGCAGGCAGGTAGTCAGGCAGGCAGGTGGGCAGGGCAGGGCAGGCAGTCAGGCAGGCAGCACTCAGCAGCTATGGCTTACCTGCCCATGTCGGTGTAGAGCATACCCAGGTTGCACAGAGACTGCGCTACATCACCATGCATATCACCACCACCACTACCATAGACTTGTTTACGCATACTCAGTACCTCCATGAATAATGTCTCTGCCCGCCTGCGACAGTCCAACACAACAAACCAGAGCAGATGCTTATACACATTACAGAGCCCGGCTAGTAGAAAGGAAGAGCAGAATAATATGCAAGACACGGTGGTGAATCATGAACGTGCAATTAACCTGTCTTCAGTGTGTTTCAACAGTATAGACCTCTGGTTTCAAAAAACTGTTAGGCCAGCATCTACACCCCATAAACCTGTGATTGGCGTGTGCATAACGTTTCCGAATTTGGATGTTTGTTATTCAATCGCTTAAAAATCTATACAAGAAAAGAAAGAACTGCCCGAGCAATATCCGGAAGAAAATTTTCAAAAAGCTCAAACCAACTTGGAATTATTCAAAAAATATCTGGACTTTCGAAGCGCAATGTAGGTATAGATGCTTGCAGGTGCAAGGGGAATTCCTAATCAGGCACAGCGCTTCATTCAGTTCTCTGGACTATCCCACAACTCAGTGACTTAAGCTGTGTTCACAACTGGCACGTGGACGCGGTACGCTTGCGGTTCATGTGTACCCAAACGCACGCTCAAGCTTTCACAAGAAACAGCAATCCGAGTCGTATTTAGCGCGTGCGACACCTTCGAGTACTAATTGTTTGACCCCGCCAGTCAAAGTGACTGGCATGTACGCGCCTGATACGCGCTGAAAATTCCAACATGTTGGAATTTCCATTTCGGCGCGTTTCCGTACGCTTGGCGCCCCCAAAAGCCAGCAAGAATACGCACAAACGCATGAATACACGCGCCAGTTGTGAACACAGCTTTACTTGGAGAGGCTACTGCTCTGGGAACAGTCTTGCAAATTTCTTTCAGATGTTCACTACTGTCACAGGTATCGCAGATCCAGAGCTGTGGTACTCAAATATACTACTGCAGGGACGTAGCTGGTCCCCCCCCCCCCCCCTTGTTAGGTCGGTGCATGGTCGCATATGTGTACGATGGCTGGTGCATGTCATTCATGGTCATTATGTGCATGCTGAGCCTAGGTTGAAATTATTAGGGGGGGGGGGGGGGGGGTGCACGTGCCCCATGCGGGTTATGTGCCTGTTACTAACTATGGACTTAACCGCCGTAATCTTTGATCAGAAGAACACTGCATGAGCAAGTGTAACTTAGTATGCACATCAGCTATTTTACATGATTTCCCACTTACAATGCATTTCTTTTAAAAATGACCACCTTCACCATCACCACCACCACCACACACTACTGTCACCACCACCACCACACACTACTGTCAATACAATCAAATCGATTCTACCGATACTGAAGAAAGTACCACATTTCCCCAGACTTACTTGTAATCCGCTTGCATGTAGAACAGCATGGCTTGCTGATTGAGGGTTTTGGCTGTGTCCAGCGATGAAGCCGCTTCAGCACGCTTGCTAGCTGAAAGACCAAACTCTGGCTGACCAAAGACAGTAGGCCTCTGTGACAGTGCAGCACACAGAACAAAGGCGAGCGCTGTTATTAATTGTTGTTGGTGGGCAGACGGTACTCTGTCACCGTGGTTCAGCAACTGAACAAAGCCATCCCCCACACTAACACCAGCTGTCATGTCATGGGTCAGAACGTGTACACTGCCCACATGCAGCGCATGGCAACATCACTCAATATTAGAGAAAGTCCCCAGCATGCCAGACAGCGCACTAACAAAACTTCTCTTGCTTAGTTGTGGTTTTGTCATGCATTTCTTTCCTGTCAAAAGCACAAGAGAAATAGCTAGAAATCTGTAAGAGCAGTACCGCACATAGACAACACCATGAAGACACCGATACTCACTGCCACATGAGGCACTGTTGTTGCAACTGTGCTCTTGGCAACCTCCTGTAGCGTCGATATGGCTTTGAGCTGAAACTGTTCTGCTGCGTCTTGCCTGGAGCAATGTTCCCGACACACGGAGAAGAATTCAAAACACTCAACTGTCAAGCACTTTCAACACCAGGGCACACAGGTGTGAAGGATTACCACAAAACATCCTTAACACATTGGATAGGATGGTGGATACATGTATCATTTCTCATCTCCAAGGAGAATGAGTGGTTGACTCACGCCGAATCTGTCATGATAAAGACTTCCTGTGCAATGATGAATGCACAATGAACTGACGGAGATTTTTGTAGCCATTATTGCAAGTACGACAGAGAGTACTTCAAAGTACACAACTGCCTACTTCTTTCTTCGCTTCTGCTACTGTCAGCGCCTGTTTGCAACTTGATAGTACACAATATGCTCTGTGCGGTTTCGTGTCATGTACACCCAGAACACGGGAGCTTCGTGGTCGGACATGAATAAACTCAAACTCATTAGTGATTTCACTCTGACTGCGTGGGTTTATCCGCCAGACTCCTCCAGGGAAAATGAAGATAGCCGAGCGATAGCCCGACAGGAGCTTTCCGAACTAGACAGAACAGTCCAGGAAGTCTGATACCCCACAGGAAGTCTGATACCCCACAGGAAGTCTGATACCCCACAGGAAGTCTGATACCCCACAGGAAGTCTGATACCCCACAGGAAGTCTGATACCCCACAGGAAGTCTGATACCCCACAGGAAGTCTGATACCCCACAGGAAGTCTGATACCCCACAGGAAGTCTGATACCCCACAGGAAGTCTGATACCCCACAGGAAGTCTGATACCCCACAGGAAGTCTGATACCCCACAGGAAGTCTGATACCCCACAGGAAGTCTGATACCCCACAGGAAGTCTGATACCCCACAGGAAGTCTGATACCCCACAGGAAGTCTGATACCCCACAGGAAGTCTGATACCCCACAGGAAGTCTGATACCCCACAGGAAGTCTGATACCCCACAAGAAGTCTGATACCCCACAGGAAGTCTGATACCCCACAGGAAGTCTGATACCCCACAGGAAGTCTGATACCCCACAGGAAGTCTGATACCCCACAGGAAGTCTGATACCCCACAGGAAGTCTGGTACCCCACAGGAAGTCTGATACCCCACAGGAAGTCTGATACCCCACAGGAAGTCTGATACCCCACAGGAAGTCTGATACCCCACAGGAAGTCTGATACCCCACAGGAAGTCTGATACCCCACAGGAAGTCTGATACCCCACAGGAAGGCTACGTCAGTGCCATCCATAAGCGTGTCACCTTACCTGTTCTGCTTTTTGGCAATCATCCCGAGCAGACAGAAATGCTGGAGTGGCAAACAACACCATCATGAAATTGTTCAAACACACCCGCTGGTATGTGTGCAACAGACGTTTAAATCAAATGAAAATTCCCAGCCCCGGTGCAAATTCCAGCAATCATCTACACAACTATGCATGCAAGAGCAGCCACTAAGCTAACACCCTGTGCTGAAGCAGGTGAGCAGCAAAGCGTGTTAAGATTTCCTGGCATATCATATCATACACTTCAGTATAATTATCTCAGCCCTCCATCCACTGCCTCTAAACTGCGCAGAATTAGACAGCAAAACGCCCTTTGGCACATCATCAAGGACAGACGAAAAGTTGGCAAGGAAGTATTCCATGTGGATGGTGTGTCTCTAGACTCTCTACTCACTGTGTCTACTTACTGTATCTACTCACTGTATCTACTCACATCAGCCATTTGTCTCGACATGGTACCCAGAGTGTCTTCAGTGATGCTGGTTGCCTGCTGGATCAACTGTACTGCCGTACTGGATGCGAACAGTTCACAAAGACATACACACACAGTGCTGAACAGTCATCGCGTATAGACCATTTTTCATGAAGCTTCCACAGTGCTGCCAAATTGTCCGATTTGCAGCTGTCTTGGAACGCTGGTGGTCTGGTGTTCGGAATGTACAATCATGTACATTCACCACAGTAATTGACTAAGCAAAGTGACTACGCAGAATAGTAACCACCAAAAGCAGTGGTTCACCTGACTAGGTGGTTGCCCGTAGGCAAACACAGATTTAGAGTGGAGCCTCAGAAATGCAATTACTCCAGCATGGCCTAGCTGCCGAAAGCACATTTTTCTTTCCAACAGCCATATTGAAGACAGTTCTACGCCGCACTGAGTTATTCCGCGGTGTCATACGGCTTAACGAATGGAGAGCACAAAGGCCCTCATTTCAGTCACCTTCCTACCCGTGTTTGAGGTTCACGTGTACAGATTCGACTTCTGGTATCTGTATCTATCAGTTTATCACTTAACACGCCAAGCACCCCAAGCATCACAAGCATTGCTGATACAATATCCACTACTCACTCGACTTGTCCAATATGCAGGTGGATAGTTGCAAGGCAGTGCAGTGCTCTGGCCACGGACGGATGGTCTGGATCCAGTATGTCTTCCCTGATTGACAGGCATTGCCGTGCCAATGCTATTCCCTTCAAAGAAAAAGAGCATCGTGGCCAGCATAGGATAGAATGTGCTTCAAACAATCAGGCAGTATCGTGTGCATGGCACACACAAGACAACGCTATCCATTCAGCATAATCAGTGCCCGCAGAGCTCCTCCAACCGGCCAAGAGATGTTTCCAAAGTGTTTAGCGGTGTCTAGTACTAAGTCATGCTGGCATCAATCCAGTGTGTGTGTGGGGGGGGGGGGGGGAATAACTGGGTAACAAGTGGACGTGCTCTACATACACATGCTTGATTCTATAGCAAGTCCACCCCCTATAAGCAGTCACACAGTAACAATGGCACTGTTGGATGTCAGAAGCGACCCTGCTTTGTGCAGATTAGACAGAAGACAATTATGTTACCAAATTGGCAATTAGCCCAATAATGCCAATATGTATTTGTTTTTAGCTGAAAGCTGAGAGAAGCAGCCAAACTGATTTTGAACACACGTGTATATCAGCATTTTTATTCGATTCCCACCTAACATCCAAGGTCGCCGGTCTCAAAGAGCAACTGGAGGAGTAGACGTCCATTAGCCGAAACACAACACAATACGCACGAGTGTTACCTTTGTTGGGCAATCCAGGAACTCAACGGCAAAGCTGCTTACAGCTGACATGAGAATGGTACTCCGATACAACTCAGCCTGGTCACACTGAGAATTGCCTGCACAGATAGGCACAGAAAAATCCGTACGCTGTCTCATCTTCCATGCCAACTTAAAATGAGACAAAACGAATTGCGGGCACGGCTTGTACATTACTCCCGGTATCAACGCATGGAAAACAGTGTGCACACACTACAGTAGACACCGAGTCAACACAGCTATCAACACACAGTGGACCACTTTCTGGCAAGGTGTATCGCTACTTAGTACTTTGTACATACCTTCCATGGCCATTTTGCAGCATATGGAAGCAATGTCCCTCTTTTCTTTGCCTGTTTTCAGCCATGTTTCTAGAAGGAGAGGACAGTTCCCTCTGCACATGTAACACACATGCATGCACGCATACATGCACAAACACACATGTGGATACGCACACGCACGCACGCGCGCACGCGCGCACACACACATACACACATGCGCAAGTGGATTCAACAAGGCATCTCCGTAAACCATCGAAATATCAATCTGGCATCATCTGATATAAACACTCCTCGTAGATATCCCAAGTCAATTCAGAATAATGTTCATAGAAAGCAATCACAGTAAATGACTTCTTCTGCAGTAGACTGCCTGGTACTAGCCAAACGAAGTTGATCTCCTCATTCTTTAGTGGAGCAATATTCACCCTGGGGTACTCACGCCATTAGCATGTCCAGTACCACATCTGCATCGACCAGAAACCGCTCCAGTACTTTCTGATCCGCGTGTGTCTGCTGAGAAAAGAGGCTGACGAGCTCTTCCCATAGCTGCACACTTCGGTAGCCCGATCTGCAAAGACAGAACATTGCGGTTGACATGGATGTAAATGGTAAAGACTGCTGCAACTGAACATGCACAGTGTAATGTCTACTGTGTGCCCACTTTGACTGAGTCCTAGAACAAGATTATAATGAAGCAGGTGACTCAAAAAGGACCTTAAAAGGTAGCATGGCTAGGGTTGGCTGAGCCAGGAAGTTAATGTTTCCTTGTACAACTCCAGCATTGGCCTTCACTCAGTCAGCACTTTTGGTGTATCGAGTGCCGGGAAGTTCTCTGCGTTCTAGGACTAATGCCACACTGTTCTGGTGAATATCTTGTAATGTACAGCTTGAATTGACTGCATAGCTTCACTCCACCCCTATACTATCGCTCTGGATCTTCAATCACAGAAACTATTGCAGTGTCCGCCAACACTCTACACTAATCAGTATTGAGTGTATCCTGAATTCAGGCAACTGTGACTTGAAGCCAGGCTACTACTTGTACTTCAGTGCAGGAAGTACAAGAAGAACAATCTGACAAGAGAACCCCCGGGTCGGACACAATGCTATTACAAGTACATTGGCGAGCCCCACACACTCAGTGTTGTTTCATCCTAGTATCCGAGTATCAAGACTTGCTGAATGCTGGCTTACTCGAATCGGCTGATAAGCTGCCGTAGGAGACAGCTGCGGTACTCGGCATGCTCTTCAGGCTTGTTCAGATACAGCTCCTCCACCACAGAGCGTACCTACAGCAGGCAATGCACATGTACATGAAGACTGTTTGGATGCAAAACGTGACATATCCATTTCATCACTTTTCGGATAGTGACCAAAAAGAGGATTCATTTTATGTGCGGCTTGTATCTAAATCCATATTCAGCCATCATTTTTGAACTGGTTTTAGTCAGATTTTGAATGTGAAATTTGCCTGAAGGTGCCTCAATAGTCAAGACCTTTTTTTATTATACTGAGCTCAAAATCTCAGATTTTCAAATTCGGAGTTTGTCGCGTTTTGCATATAAACTCTTCACATGTAACATGGAGCACTACACAGCACTACAACAGTACAACACAGTGCACATGCATGCTGGGTATATCATAATTCTTGTACAGGTCACTGGAAGCAGCACAGCACCATCAGACATGATCGCATTTCTGCTTTACAAGTAGGTGTTACGTGTACAAGCAGCTGAATCGACCCGGAACTTCCCACAAGTACTGCTGTGTTGGACTTGTAATGACATGTACATTTTGTTTGTTTGTTTGTGTGTGTTGTGTGTGTACATGTACAAGTATTGTGTAGTATCGTCGGTGCTCAGACACAATCCTGTTTCGTGTCCTCAATGCATGCTTACGTGTGGTCCATTCAGCATGACTGTCCCGCCGTGCACGACAATCAGAAGATGACGCGTGAGAATGTAGCGAAGGCGCAGCCAGCTGATCCATGTGATGTCGCAAAGCTATTATCCGGCGTAGAAACAGAAAAAGACACACTGATCAGGGGCGTCAGAGCGCAGTCGGGAGTGGGACTACTGGTGGTCGGGGAGGGGCATCCCCCGGGGAAAAATTGGATTTTCGGCCAGATGCTATCTAGGAGACGTACAAGCTATGCCCTGATGGCGTGAGTCAGTGTCTCACCAGCCTTGGAACTCTTGTTGGAAAGCAAACAAGCAGGTCTGAGCATACGGGTAAAGACACAAACACCTTTGCATTGACGTCAAGGGTATTTTAGTGTGGCCCGGGCAGCCATCTGATGTACAATTTACTCGTGGGAAGGGTGGCTCGGCTGAAATATTGAGACATTTCTGCAGAGCCCAGATCAGTAAGTTATTGACTCACAGGGTGATGGTAACTGGGGCAAATGTGGTACAGTCAGTACTGTAGTGACCGCACTGTGTCCTGTGTCAGGGCACACACCCCCCCCCCCCCCGATATTTCGATCTAGGGTCAGCATGCACGTAATGACCATGAACAACATGCACCAGCTATCGTACACATATGCGGCCGTGCACCCCCCCCCCCCCCTAAAAGGGGGACCAGGTACGCCCCCGTGTGTACTGCATGGGTGGATGGGGGTAATGTCACACACCTGCAGTAGGTCATCCTGGACTACACCATCTTGTGAAACATAGACCAAGCAGAACACCTGTAGCAGGGCAGACACATCAACACCCACACTATGCATACAGAGCCGCCATTGTACCATTTGTATTGCCACACTGGAGATATTCTAATTTACACATTATTGACCTCGTGTATACCAATAACCTAGCCACAATGACATGGTGTCATTTGTTCACAAGTGCCTGTAGCAAAACCCCTGAAGGTATACTACATACAAGTAGTAACACACAATCATGTGTACATGAAAAGGGTCTCACACACACACACACACGCACGCGCACGAGCGCACACACACACACACACACACACACACGCACACACACTCTCTCTCTTTCTCTTACCTTCTTCAAGACGTCTGTCGGAACAGTTATGAGTAAGTCGAGTCCATCGAAGATGTGATGTAGCAGTTTGTGTATTGACTGGAGGGAGAAAGCAGGCATATCAAGGTGGCAACACACATGCATACCTGCCATAGGAAGCTGGGCGGCATGAACCCCCTCCCTAATGCAACTACAAATGCCGCCTGTAGAGATTCCTCAGTCACATGACAAGACATACCGGTATGCAGGCATTGATTTGACTGGCAAGTTGTCACATGACCTCGCATCACATTATGCTACTTGCCATTCCTAACATGTACGCCAGTCATATAATGATGAGCCATGTGACCAATGGGTAGCAGGCCTGCCGGAACCGGTCCGGTTGGTCAGGTTATCACCGTACCAACTTTTTGGCCACCAACATGTGTTTACTACTGTGGAGGGCATGTGTACCCGTCATATCATACATAAACTGTATGAAAGGCCATGATACTACCGGACCAATCAAGAACTGCTTCCGGTGGTCCTGCCGTAGGTAGCAAGCGGGACTATCCCCTCTAGTCACTTGAGTATATGCAAGACTGGAACAGTTCTAATCATTGTGGCTGAGACTGGCTAGGCACTTCCCACCCCCATACTCTCTTGGACTTGTACTGCTACAAGCCTCCTCTCCGATTTGGTTTTTCCTCTCTTTCTTTTTCAGCCTCCGACCGCCGAAACTTAGTTCCGGCATCAGTCCACCTTGCTGCTTCACCAAGTCAATTTTGTACCGCAATCCTAGATTGGCTAGGGTACCCAGTAAGGAGACCATAGGTCTGTGGGGACTGCCCTAGAAGAAAAATGAAAACACACATACACATACTCCCACCTGCATACATACACACATACCCACATCCATCCCTTCCCTGCCGTTGGAATCTAATCGTCTGACCACAGAACATGTTGGCTCGCAAAAAAATCAGCATATGCTGACAAGAACGCAACTCACCTTACAGTCCAGTCCAGACTGAATGCGCACAGCTAACGTGCTTGGATCACTGTCACTGCGGGCAAAGAAGAAGAACATGAAAATCACAACAGACCTGAACACAAAGTGCACCAGCGAACAGTTATCAGATTGCACCAGTCCGGTTGCCTTCCAGGATAGCACTCATACCAGAAGGTTCAAATACGTCTCTCAATGCGTTGAGAATGAGTTGTGAGGCTTCCTACAGCAGCCCAAGACATTACAATACATATTGGAATCCGAAATATGGACATTTTTGCTTGCTTGCTTGCTTGAATCTATTATATCCCTGCAAGGTCCATTGCATATCGGATCTGCATGATCCGCATATAATTGTATTTTTAGTATCAGATTCTGATATGCAGGAGATGATGACCTTCGTCTTGCCTAAAAGGATCACCAGCCAAAGCTGCCATTCAAACATCACATCAGAAGTCTTACCTTGCAAGATGACGGCTCAGCAGAACAGTAAACAGTGGATTAGACGTTGTCTGCCCTACTTCCCCACTCAGTGACATTTCCTGCAGTCAAACAAAAATAGTAGTTCTTTTTCACAACCGACAATAGATTGTAGACTACAGCAAGATACAGCACATCGGACACACTGCTCAACATGGTTTCGTAGTTGTTCATGGATACTTTTATGTCAATGACAGTATCGGTAGCATACCTGATCTGGAACAAGTAGCTTATGCAAGGGTCCCATGAAATGCCGTAGCAGTGTCTTGGTATGCCGTGCAGACAACGCATCAACGTCCAGCGTGGGCCAAGTTCTGCAATCCAAAAATAGAAACACACATCTACTTGAATATGCCTAGGTGTGTGTGCAGTAGCAAGGGAAGCTTAATACACGTACTAAAAGCCTTCAGAACAGTGCAGCTCTGGTCTGGAGGCCACCAGGTATTCATATGCATGCAAGCCAAAGAGACTTGTGACAGAGAGTGAGCCATGTACATGTATACGTACCGGGCTAGGAGTTTTAGATAGAACCGGCTGCAGTGATGGTAAGTGGAATGCAACACTGATCATACAACTACCAACCCTTGTGACTATGCGATCCTTGCACTACCATCACTGGTCTGTGTAGTGAATGGAGCTCTGTTTCAGCAAGAATTAAACCACTCCGGCTCCAGAATCAGGGAAAGTCTTTCTACTAAAATTGCTTACCTCCATTTTAGTGGACAAAGGTCACGACTGCATGCTACTATCACTCTTGTCTCGACGGGCAGTGGCTCTAGTAGCCAGGACAGTTTGGATTGATCCTGGGAACAAGAACAAAGAAAGGTTGTACGATCACAGACACACATGTGCATCGTTGGTCAAGTCAGTCAGTCAGTGGACTTCAGCGCCGCGGCAAGTGACACGCTCAAGTGTACATCGATCCGGTTCTCACTTGCCTCGACCGCAGTTAGAAGAGAGGTCGAATGGGATACTATTCAGAATGACAACCACCCTTTGCTTCTTGGTCAATTCCTACCAAAACCTTAGCTTTTCAACTAGAACAGAGAGTCAGAGGGTAAGACTTTGTTTCAATAGGAGAGCTTACCTCTATCCTCTCGATGCCATCCAAGACAAGGACAACGCCATTCGCTTGCCTGGACGAGACCTGGTCAAGAAGAGTTGGGAATTCCTCAATTTGGCACATGTCCAGGTTGCGATAGTCATGGACCCCCAGCCACTGCATCAACTGCCAGAACAGGACAAAACCAACGTGACACAGAGAGAAGTCATTGGTAAGAGCAGCTCACAGCACATCATCATTTGAACTATTTTTTTATCACAGTGCACGTACCTACGAAGAGAGAGGAAACAAAACGAAATCAAAACAAAAGTGTAACACTGGGTGCGTAGGCGCTACATGAGCTGTGCTGGCGAGGTGCGGTGTGTACTCCCCTGACTGAAGACCTTGCGATGAGCGTACTCGGCGCGCACTGTCACCAATACTCCACTTAAAGATGTTCTCATACAATGCTCTGCGATCTCATTGCTGCAGTCGAAACCCAGAGAATAACATTCCTATAATTATACAATCACCAAAGTCGCTACGAATATTCCTGTCATGATACAGAACTTGCTTCCTTGACGATGCTGATATTATATTTGCTGGCAATCGAGTTATTCCGACCGATCAGTCAGCTACCTATCCCACAACATGTACCGTGTAGGGTTCCAGCAATCATGTATCTCCTGTGAATTTCAGTGCAATGGGCAATTTATGAGTCCTCAGCACTCCAGGGCAACAAGCAGTGGTGGATCATAAGTACACCGAGGACATGGCTGGCTATAATCGCCCTCACCTCCTCCTTGATTGGCCTTGGCCATGAGTGTGTGCGTAATACTGTCGCCGCGTAAGTACATGTACTACTCACATGCCAGACAAAGCGCTGAGTCATTTGTCTCGTATTTGCCGTGGACGAGGCAGATGACGTCACAAAGTGGTGGAGTATGTGCTGAGTACGGTTGCTTTGCTGGTGGTTCGTGAGCCTGCATGGACAGAGGACAGAATGTGAGTGAGTGGATTAAGCACGCATGCCATTCGCCTATCTTCTGTTGCTAGCATAAGGACTGACATGCTCAGTGAGTCCGACCATTGGCGCACCCAGTTACGCAGTTCTTGACACCCACAGCCACGCAACTCAGCTATTTAAAGTCCATTCACACACTGTGCAACTTGTTGCGCAGTTCTCGACCAAGTGGTCGGATTTCACTGGTCAACATTGTACTTTGAGTAGTGACAAGTCACGCTCCTGCTGAAGTCGAGAAGGGTTATTCCCGAGGCATGATTGCATATTGCAGAGTCAACATTCTCTAGAACCTCTAATACAATTATGACATGCACAGGGCATTGTACAGGGCAGACACTGTATAGCATACAATGCGGGGACAGTCTGCTACCATGAGTTGAGCAGCGGAATTCTTCGACTGAGTAAACTGGATATCTGCGGGGCTCTTTTAGCAGAATATGCATGACACATCTTCCCGCATTGGCCATGCTAGCAATACGTGTATATAAAATAGTTACACCAGATCTCACCAGTGGGCTAGTAATGTTGTCTTGCCACTACCGGGATCACCAAGGATGAGCAGAGGTGGTAACGGGCCAACATCAGACACGTGTTCGTCCAATTTGTCGATATACTGCGAACAACACATGCGCAGTCAAACACACACGGCACCTAGCGCTTATTAGTATTTCTCTCGGCAGGCCAGGATGCATGCCAAGACATGTTTCAAAGCGCAATGTAGGAACGTGTTTGTTGCTATAGTCTAGTAGCAAAACATGCTGGTGAGAATATATACCGTATTTTACTGGTTGTAAGTCGACCCCGGTTATAAGTCGACCCTTCTATCTGGAGGTCTCACTGTATGCTGATGTCTATCACGCGCGTGTTCGCGCCAGCTCACGGATGCGCCGTTGTGCGCATGCGCAAACTCTCCCAGCAGCTCGCTTTGCATACGTACACCCTTCAGCAGCCTTCGTGCCTGGCTCTCTTTGTTAGTTGCATTGGCTCGCATGACTCTTGCTCCGTGTTTTCAAACTCCGGAGTTCTTCAGTTCTGTTCAGACTTCCTTGTACAAGGTGACATCGTCGTTTCGGTCTCTTGTTGCCTAGTTGTGGTGTCCAGTCCCTGGGCGGGCTGGAATTCTGAGTGCTGTATCCGCGGAGTGGTTTACTCAAATTTTCTCAAATTTTCCCACGCTGAGGCAAGAGATGTCGCGCAGGTCCGCCAGGTCATCTTCTAGCCCCTACGCTAGAGCAACATCCTCCCCTGCTCCTGGAACCACCCAGGCCAGAGCCCCGGCCCAGAACCTCGCGCCGCCTCGTGCTCCTCGTGCTTCGGCTCTACCTGGCCAAGTGCCTCCGTCTCAGTCAATGCCGGCCGGCCACCCACCCCAGCCCACGCTGGCGAGCCAGATCTCCGCCGCCGTGGCTGTTGCTATTCAGCCTCTGGCCGACAAGGTTACCCTGCTGGAGCAGGCTGGCGCAGCCCAACTCGCCGGCCCAGGAACTGGCGTAAACTCGGGACTCGCTCATGTTCCGACGTTCAGCGGGGCCTCGCTTTGTGCTGCCGGATCAATCGCCACTTCAGCGCCGGTTTTACCAGTATCAGTACCGGCTGCCAGCCACCCGACACAACAGTGGCCGTCATCTGGAGACCTCCCCGTGGTGCCGCCTCGCCTTCGAGACCGGATTGTGCGAGGTGAGTTCACAGAATTAAGCGATTTGCTGCCTGAATCCCTGGGCTTCGAGGGGGATCATGATGTGATGCAACTCGACGTGGGCGCGGGCCGATCTGTGCAGCTCGTCCCCAAATCTTCCCACCGGCAACCCGCCAAACGACACATCTATGATCTTGCCACATGGGTGGAAGCGTTCACCACATACTCGAGGGTGCTGGCCGACGCCTCACCACAGCTGGCAGGTGATCTCTGGGCGTATCAGGCCATCATTGTCGATGCCAACGTCCGGTTCCACAATGATGCCTGGCTGTCCTACGACCGCAAATTCCGTATGGCCACGGCGTCCCTCCCTCACCGCTATTCCTGGTCCGTCATTGACCCAAACCTGTGGCAGTCTTGTCTCACGGGCCGTGGGCGGCCTCCGTGCCAGCGTTGCTCCATGGTCCATCCAAGTCAGCCCAGCAGCTGCCCCTTTCGTGGGGGGCTCCCAGCCCCAACAGCGCCTACGGGGAGCCAGTTCTCGCACCAGCCTGGCTTTGACGGCAAAGCCATCTGTCGTAATTTCAACTTCGGCAGCTGCTTGCTCTCCCCCTGCTCCAGAGCACACGTCTGCATCCAGTGCCGCGACCGTCACCCCGCACGCCAATGCTCCAAGTCTGGTGACTCGACCAAGAAGTAACTCTCACCCCAGTGGTGACGCTGCTTTACAGGTGCCCACTAGCACGCCTGTTCATGTTCAGCGCTTTATCAATCTTCCCTCTCCTCATCCAAATGCAGTATTTCGCTCTTATGGTTCACAAGGCATGCAGTATGGCTTTCGTATTGGCAGCTTTCGCCCCATTGCATCTTCTGTTATGTCTCCTAATCACTCTTCGGCTTGTGCTTGCCCTGCTGAGGTTACTACTCATCTGCTTAACTGTTGTGACCGCGGAGAAACTGCGGGCCCATTTGCATCTCCGCCATTCCCTCACATGCATATTTCTGGTTTGGGTGCTATCCCGAAGTCTGATGGCAAACTGCGTATCATCCACGACCTCTCGCCCCCTGCCGGCTCGAGTGTGAATGACGGTATATCTCGGGATGAATTCAGCCTGCAGTACGAAACTGTCGATACAGCTATCTCTCTGATCATGCAGGCAGGGTGTGTCGCTCTTTTGACGAAGGTCGACAGGAATGCATTCCGTCTCTGTCCTGTTGCCCCCTGTGACTGGCCTTTTCTGGGCATCTTCTGGCAGGGACAATTCTATCATGACAAAGTGCTACCATTTGGATTGCGTTCTGCACCATACATATTCGATAAATTCGCCACAGCAGTCCAGTTTATTCTCGAGGATGCATGCCACCTAAGCCAATTACTCCCCTACCTGGACGACTTTCTGAACGTTAGTCCGCCCCACCTGCCCGTTGCGGAACATCATCGCTCACATATCTTAGACATGCTCCGCTATTTGCAGATACCGGTGGCCTCTGAGAAAGTCGAAGGCCCATCCACATGTCTCACCTTCCTCGGCCTGGAGCTGGATTCGCTGACGTTTGAGATCCGGTTACCGTCCGCCAAACATGGGGCGTATCTCGGCAAAGTCAACGGCCTCCTTCAATCAGGCATGGCGTCCCGGCGCGAACTCGCCTCCGTGTTGGGCAATCTCTCGTTCGCGGCCCGGGCTATTCCTGTCGGTCGTACCTTCCTGAGGCGCCTGTACGACCTTGACCGTGCAACAAGCAACCTTCCAAAGCACAAGGTTCTCTCTGGCAATAGCACCGTCATCCAGGAGGACATACTCAGCTTCAGAGCGGCGGTACCTGGATTTCTGTCAGCAGCATGGCGTTGTGGCCCTGCCTGGAAGCGACGTTCCACTGTGCTACTACGCAGCCCTCCTCATGCGCACACTGCGGCCGGCCTCGGTTCGCACATATATGTCAGCCATCTGGAACTTACACGTCGAAATGGGCCTCGAGTACCCGAATCAGCCGACGTCCCTGCTGTCACGAGTGTTAAGAGGCATAGCCCGTTCGTCGGGACCTGGCCGCCCTCGTTTGCCTATCACAACACCCATCCTCCGGCAACTCTGCCAACGCCTCCAAGTTTCCTCCATGCGGCACTCAGTTGACCAGGCAATGCTGCAGTGCGACTTCACCCTGGCCTTTTATGGCTTCCTGCGCTGTGGTGTGAGCTCACCTCGTTGACGTTTGGCAACGTGGCCCTGGACCAACAATCATTTCGTATCACCATCACGCTGCTGCAATCAAAGACGGACCCGGACGGTAGGGGCACGGTAGTCCACGTGGGCGGCTGTACCGATGTCATCAGCTGCCCTGTTACGGCGATGGTGCGGTACCTGACGGCAGTGTCGGCAGAGTCCCAATCTCCTAGAGATCAGCTGCTCGTCTACCACAATGGCCAGCCTCTGACACGAGCGGACGTCACGAGGGAGTTGCGGACCCTCCTACCGCTTTGTGGGATTACAGATCCGTCCAGCTATGCCAGCCACTCATTCCGGATCGGAGCAGCCACGTCTGCAGCTATCGCAGGCGTACCAGAGCACGTGATCCGCCATATGGGGCGATGGCGCAGCGACGCCGTGCTGCGCTATATCCGTGTTGAGCCATCCGAGGTGCGGCTAGTATCAGAGAAGCTAGCCACAGTGAGTGACTGACCAGTAGCGCTGCACCTTGACGAATGTCTCCTCCGGTATACATACCAACTCTCAGTACCGCTATCGGTACCTAGATTTCTTGACTGCTAGCAGCTCCTGCTATACTCCTCGTTCAATGCTCGCGTTATTTCTGAGCACTGACTTATTTGGTTGGCCCACCAGGGTAACTAGCTTGGGCACTGAACTCTCAGTAGCTGGCAGCATTCTCTCTACTCTCCCGAATCACTCTATTCGGTTACTGCCCTTGGCAGGTCAGCCGCCATTTCGGTCTCACTCCGAATCACTCTATTCGGTTACTGCCCTTGGCAGGTCAGCCGCCATTTCGGTCTCACTCTCGGTCCCCGCCTCTGTCGGGTCGGCCGCCTCCATGGTTACACACTGCCAGCTCCTTCGCCCAGTTACCCTGTGGTGCCAACCAACTACTGCTGTGTCTGTGTGTGGGTCGTGTATGCCTCCGCGTACGGAGCATGCGTTAATGCAAGTTTTGCGTAGCTAAAGTATGTTAACGCGGTGACGTAATGTTTTCACTGTATGCTGATGTCTATCACGCGCGTGTTCGCGCCAGCTCACGGATGCGCCGTTGTGCGCATGCGCAAACTCTCCCAGCAGCTCGCTTTGCATACGTACACCCTTCAGCAGCCTTCGTGCCTGGCTCTCTTTGTTAGTTGCATTGGCTCGCATGACTCTTGCTCCGTGTTTTCACCCACCCACCCACACCGACTTCATTGTGTTACAATTCTCATTCTGTAGCACCCCGCTTATACTACTAACCTCATTCGTCTTCCAAACTCACTCTGCTAAACAAAAACAAGCAGGGATTGGGCACTGAACTCTCAGTAGCTGGCAGCATTCTCTCTACTCTCCCGAATCACTCTATTCGGTTACTGCCCTTGGCAGGTCAGCCGCCATTTCGGTCTCACTCCGAATCACTCTATTCGGTTACTGCCCTTGGCAGGTCAGCCGCCATTTCGGTCTCACTCTCGGTCCCCGCCTCTGTCGGGTCGGCCGCCTCCATGGTTACACACTGCCAGCTCCTTCGCCCAGTTACCCTGTGGTGCCAACCAACTACTGCTGTGTCTGTGTGTGGGTCGTGTATGCCTCCGCGTACGGAGCATGCGTTAACACATCAATAAATCATGTAAACACCACTTATTGGAGGACATAACGTCCCAATCCTTGAAAAAGGCCAATGAACTGGCAAAATGTGTAAACATGGTGCACTCGTGCATGCAGTGCAGGTCATTTTTTTGAAGATTCTGATTGTTACCGGTTATAAGTCGAATCCCGGTTGTAAGTCGACCCCCACCCTTTCTCCTTCTATTTTAAGTCGTAAAAGGTCGACTTACAACCGGAAAAATACGGTAGTTGACAGGATGCAAACAGTCTGTTGTGTGACATGGCTGAACAGTTCTATTTAGATTTGAAACCCAAAGAGACAAAGACTGCCTCATTTTATACCATGCACCAATGCCTGTAAATGGAATATAATTATTATTCTGTTAACCCCCGCCCACCCTACCCCATTATACGGTAAACACAGGCACCCTCCTCATTATTGTCAGCGTCCTTTTGATGATTGTCCCAATGCCATGAAACTCAGAGCTACAGAACATCTTCAGTTTCCCCACCCTTGTGAACTTGATCATCTTGTCAAAGATATGTTTACTCTGGTGCTGTGTACGTGATGTGATAAGGCGCGCATGCGCGCCTGGGCTCGTGGCTGGTTTTGCATGCTTGCTGTGCTGGACTAGGTCCGAGAATGTGAGCTCTCTTTTCCTTGTCTTTCTGTTCCTTGATTATTAGTATATTACAATAACTGTACGAACCTGAGTAATGCTGTGTGTGGGCCCTTAGGGCCAGACATAACAATTGGCGACGAAGATGGCAGGACGCAACTCCAGATTAGAAATTTTCGAAACTGGGGATTTTGACGAGTATGCAGAGAGACTCAATTTTCATTTTCTGGCTAATGACATTGGCCAAGTTGCAGACGATGCAACCGAGACAGTACAGGCAGCGGCAGACAAGAAAAAGTGCGCCGTGCTGATTAGTCAACTATCTGGTCAGGTTTATTCCACATTGAAGAATTCGTGCCTCCCAGATAAACCAGGGCAGAAGAAGTTCGAAGAGCTGCTGAAGCTCCCCTGTGATTATTTCAAGCCCAAGATCAGTGTAGTTGCTGCCACCTATCAATTTCAGAAAACCCTGCAGAAGGAGGGCGAGTCTGCGATCATGTTCGCGGCTCGATTGAAACGGGCAGCCATGGACTGCAAGTTTGAAGCTTATCTCGACAGGGCCTTGCGTGACCAGTTCATCACTGCGATCGGTTCTACCAGCACGACGAAGGAAATCCTGGCGAAGGCTGAGGAGACGACAACATTTCAGCAGGTTGTCGACATGGCCACGGCTCATGAGACAGCTTTCCGCGAGTCTGAGAAGTTTTCAACGCAGGTTCATGCAGTACGCGGAGAGCCGGGGCTCGCCGACAACGCCACGTTCAAATCTGACAAGCCCTGTTTCCGCTGTGACAAGCTGGGACATCGACCGGATGAGTGCCACTTCAAATCTGCGAAGTGTCGTGCTTGCGGCAAACTGGGACACATCGAACGAGCCTGCCTAAAGAAGAAAGCGGCCAGGTCCGTCAAGCATGTCGGGACAACATCAAACCCCGGTGAGCTTGTTCCTTGTAATGATTCTGTACCGATGTTGAATGTGAATGCCACCATGAGTGACAGAGCTGTAGCACCGTACACTACGCCTGTCGAGCTAAATGGGGTCCAGGTGCACTTGGAAATTGATACGGGTAGCACCGTCACACTGCTAGGAAAAAATGATTTTCTGCAAGTTTTGCGTGGCTAAAGTATGTTAACGCGGTGACGTAATGTTTTCACTGTATGCTGATGTCTATCACGCGCGTGTTCGCGCCAGCTCACGGATGCGCCGTTGTGCGCATGCGCAAACTCTCCCAGCAGCTCGCTTTGCATACGTACACCCTTCAGCAGCCTTCGTGCCTGGCTCTCTTTGTTAGTTGCATTGGCTCGCATGACTCTTGCTCCGTGTTTTCAGTTTTCAAACTCCGGAGTTCTTCAGTTCTGTTCAGACTTCCTTGTACAAGGTGACATCGTCGTTTCGGTCTCTTGTTGCCTAGTTGTGGTGTCCAGTCCCTGGGCGGGCTGGAATTCTGAGTGCTGTATCCGCGGAGTGGTTTACTCAAATTTTCTCAAATTTTCCCACGCTGAGGCAAGAGATGTCGCGCAGGTCCGCCAGGTCATCTTCTAGCCCCTACGCTAGAGCAACATCCTCCTCTGCTCCTGGAACCACCCAGGCCGGAGCCCCGGCCCAGAACCCCGCGCCGCCTCGTGCTCCTCGTGCTCCGGCTCTACCTGGCCAAGTGCCTCCGTCTCAGTCAATGCCGGCCGGCCAACCACCCCAGCCCACGCTGGCGAGCCAGATCTCCGCCGCCGTGGCTGTTGCTATTCAGCCTCTGGCCGACAAGGTTACCCTGCTGGAGCAGGCTGGCGCGGCCCAACTCGCCGGCCCAGGAACTGGCGTCAACTCGGGACTCGCTCATGTTCCGACGTTCAGCGGGGCCTCGCTTTGTGCTGCCGGATCAATCGCCACTGCAGCGCCGGTTTTACCAGCATCAGTACCGGCTGCCAGCCACCCGCCACAACAGTGGCCGTCATCTGGAGATCTCCCCGTGGTGCCGCCTCGTCTTCGAGACCGGATTGTGCGAGGTGAGTTCACGGAATTGAGTGATTTGCTGCCTGAATCCCTGGGTTTCGAGGGGGATCATGATGTGATGCAACTCGACGTGGGCGCGGGCCGATCTGTGCAGCTCGTCCCCAAATCTTCCCACCGGCAACCCGCCAAACGACACATCTATGATCTTGCCACATGGGTGGAAGCGTTCACCACCTACTCGAGGGTGCTGGCCGACGCCTCACCACAGCTGGCAGGTGATCTCTGGGCGTATCAGGCCATCATTGTCGATGCCAACGTCCGGTTCCACAATGATGCCTGGCTGTCCTACGACCGCAAATTCCGTATGGCCAAGGCGTCCCTCCCTCACCGCTATTCCTGGTCCGTCATTGACCCGAACCTGTGGCAGTCTTGTCTCACGGGCCGTGGGCGGCCTCCGTGCCAGCGTTGCTCCATGGTCCATCCAAGTCAGCCCAGCAGCTGCCCCTTTCGTGGGGGGCTCCCAGCCCCTACAGCGCCTACTGGGAGCCAGTTCTCGCACCAGCCTCGCTTTGACGGCAAAGCCATCTGTCGTAATTTCAACTTCGGCAGCTGCTTGCTCTCCCCCTGCTCCAGAGCACACGTCTGCATGCAGTGCCGCGGCCGTCACCCCGCACGCCAATGCTCCAAGTCTGGTGACTCGACCAAGAAATAACTCTCACCCCAGTGGTGACGCTGCTTTACAGGTGCCCACTAGCACGCCTGTTCATGTTCGGCGCTTTATCAATCTTCTCTCTCCTCATCCAAATGCAGTATTTCGCTCTTATGTTTCACAAGGCATGCAGTATGGCTTTCGTATTGGCAGCTCTCGCCCCATTGCATCTTCTGTTATGTCTCCTAATCACCCTTCGGCTTGTGCTTGCCCTGCTGAGGTTACTACTCATCTGCTTACCTGTTGTGACCGCGGAGAAACTGCGGGCCCATTTGCATCTCCGCCATTCCCTCACATGCATATTTCTGGTTTGGGTGCTATCCCGAAGTCTAATGGCAAACTGCGTATCATCCACGACCTCTCGTCCCCTGCCGGCTTGAGTGTGAATGACGGTATATCTCGGGATGAATTCAGCCTGCAGTACGAAACTGTCGATACAGCTATCTCTCTGATCATGCAGGCAGGGCGTGGCGCTCTTTTGACGAAGGTCGACATCAGGAATGCATTCCGTCTCTGTCCTGTTGCCCCCTGTGACTGGCCCTATCTAGGCATCTTCTGGCAGGGACAATTCTATCATGACAAAGTGCTACCATTTGGATTGCGTTCTGCACCATACATATTCGATAAATTCGCCACAGCAGTCCAGTTTATTCTCGAGGATGCGTGCCACCTAAGCCAATTACTCCACTACCTGGACGACTTTCTGAACGTTAGTCCGCCCCACCTGCCCGTTGCGGAACATCATCGCTCACTTATCTTAGACATGCTCCGCTATTTGCAGATACCGGTGGCCTCTGAGAAAGTCGAAGGCCCATCCACATGTCTCACCTTCCTTGGCCTGGAGCTGGATTCGCTGACGTTTGAGATCCGGCTACCGTCCGCCAAACATGGGACGTATATCGGCAAAGTCAACGGCCTCCTTCAATCAGGCATGGCGTCCCGGCGCGAACTCGCCTCCGTGTTGGGCAATCTCTCGTTCGCGGCCCGGGCTATTCCTGCCGGTCGTACCTTCCTGAGGCGCCTGTACGACCTTGACCGTGCAACAAGCAACCTTCCAAAGCACAAGGTTCTCACCCTGTCAGCCGGAGCAGTGAACGACCTCAAATGGTGGCAGCGTACCCTATCAGTCTGGCCAGGGAAGCCGTTCTTCCTCCTGGACAAATGGACAAAGGCGCCCAACTTGCAATTGCAGACTGATGCCAGCGGTAACCAGGGCTATGGAGCGTACTTCCAGGGACGATGGATCCGTGGAGCATGGTTGCCCCACCAGCATTCAGAGTCCATACAGTATAAAGAACTGTACGCTATTGTCATCGCAACCAGTACATGGGCGTCAGAGTGGAAGTCCCTCCGTATTGAGTTTCAGTGCGACAACTCAGCTGTTGTAGACTGCATCAAATCCGGCACCAGCAGATCGCCACCCATGATGTCTCTAGTTAGGTGTCTGTATCACCTTTGCGTTGCTCACGATTGCCTGATTTCAGCAGTGCACATCCCTGGTGTTACTAATACCATTGCCGATGCTCTTTCCCGGAATCTGTTGCAGGAATTCCGCCGCCTGGCACCCACGGCACAGCTCCATCCGGACATGCCGATCTTGCCCACACCGGACTGACCGAAGACGTGGCCAGGCTGGCGTCCCTGGCAATAGCACCGTCATCCAGGAGGACATACTCAGCTTCAGAGCGGCGGTACCTGGATGTCTGTCAGCAGCATGGCGTCGTGGCCCTGCCTGGAAGCGACGTTACGCTGTGCTACTACGCAGCCCTCCTCATGCGCACACTGCGGCCGGCCTCGGTTCGCACATATATGTCAGCCATCCGGAACTTACACGTCGAAATGGGCCTCGAGTACCCGAATCAGCCGACATCCCTGCTGTCACGAGTGTTAAGAGGCATAGCCCGTTCGTCGGGACCTGGCCGCCCTCGTTTGCCTATCACAACACCCATCCTCCGGCAACTCTGCCAACGCCTCCAAGTTTCCTCCATGCGGCACCCAGTTGACCAGGCAATGCTGCAGTGCGCCTTCACCCTGGCCTTTTATGGCTTCCTGCGCTGTGGTGAGCTCACCTCGTTGACGTTTGGCAACGTGGCCCTGGACCAACAATCATTTCGTATCACCATCACGCTGCTGCAATCAAAGACGGACCCGGACGGTAGGGGCACGGTAGTCCACGTGGGCGGCTGCACCGATGTCATCAGCTGGCCTGTTACGGCGATGGTGCGGTACCTGACGGCAGTGTCAGCGGAGTCCCAATCTCCTAGAGATCAGCTGCTCGTCTACCACAATGGCCAGCCTCTGACACGAGCGGACGTCACGAGGGAGGTGCGGACCCTCCTACCGCTTTGTGGGATTACAGATCCGTCCAGCTATGCCAGCCACTCATTCCGGATCGGAGCAGCCACGTCTGCAGCTATCGCAGGCGTACCAGAGCACGTGATCCGCCATATGGGGCGATGGCGCAGCGACGCCGTGCTGCGCTATATCCGTGTTGAGCCATCCGAGGTGCGGCTAGTATCAGAGAAGCTGGCCACAGTGAGTGACTGACCAGTAGCGCTGCACCTTGACGAATGTCTCCTCCGGTATACATACCAACTCTCAGTACCGCTATCGGTACCTAGATTTCTCGACTGCTAGCAGCTCCTGCTATACTCCTCGTTCAATGCTCGCGTTATTTCTGAGCACTGACTTATTTGGTTGGCCCACCAGGGTAACTAGCTTGGGCACTGAACTCTCAGTAGCTGGCAGCATTCTCTCTACTCTCCCGAATCCCTCTATTTGGTTACTGCCCTTGGCAGGTCAGCCGCCATTTCGGTCTCACTCTCGGTCCCCGCCTCTGTCGGGTCGGCCGCCTCCATGGTTACACACTGCCAGCTCCTTCGCCCAGTTACCCTGTGGTGCCAACCAACTACTGCTGTGTCTGTGTGTGGGTCGTGTATGCCTCCGCGTACGGAGCATGCGTTAATGCAAGTTTTGCGTGGCTAAAGTATGTTAACGCGGTGACGTAATGTTTTCACTGTATGCTGATGTCTATCACGTGCGTGTTCGCGCCAGCTCACGGATGCGCCGTTGTGCGCATGCGCAAACTCTCCCAGCAGTAGTATAGTGCGATGGGGGTTCTGGCTCAAATCCCACCTTTGACCCCTGGCTGCCTAATAAGGAAGAATAGTCCATATATGGCAGATGACCTTTGACCTTTGAGTTGACCTTTGACCTTTGACCTGCCATATAAGGCTGAATAGTCCATATATGGAAGATGTCATTTGACCTTTGACCTTTGGTGGTGACCTTTGACCTTTCCATATAAGGATGAATAGTCCATATATGGAAGATGACTTTTGACCTTTGACCTTTGCTGTGACCTTTGACCTTTCCAAATACGGATGATTGGTCCATAGAAGGAATGTGACCTTTGACCTTTGGGATTGGTCTATATATGGGGTGAAGTGTCCTTATAAGGAAGGTGCACGTGGTTCAGGTCATAGTAGGCATCTTCCATAGTGGGGAGAAGTGTCCTTATAAGGAAGTTGTACACGGATGAGGTCATAGTAGGCATGTGCCATAAAGGGGTGAAGTGTCCTTATAGGGAAGGTGTACACGGATGATGTCATAGAAGGCATGTGCCATAAAGGGGTGAAGTGTCCTTATAGGGAAGGTGTACACGGATGATGTCATAGTAGGCATATTCCATAGTAGGGTGAAGTGTCCTTATAGGGAAGTTGTACACGGATGATGTCATAGTAGGCATATTCCATAGTAGGGTGAAGTGTCCTTATAGGGAAGGTGTATATGCTGTAGTTTTTAAATAAGGCATATTCCATAGTGGGTGGAAGATGCCTTATATGGCATGCGTATCCTGGCCAGGTCATAGTAGGCATGCAGTTGAAACAATCATTGAGGTCCTTTCTGTCTGAGGCTTTGAAGAAAAGAAGCATCATGTAACAAAGCTGGGTTCGTACCCGCAACCTCTCGTACGGAAGGCATGAACTGTACCAAACGACCAGGACGACTACACACAAGACCCAAGGCTCAAATCACCTATTTATACCCGGACCGTAAAGAAGAAGAAAAAACGCATCATGTAACAAAGCTGGATTCGTACCCGCAACCTCTCGTACTGAAAGCACCAACTGTACCAAACGACCAGGACGACTATGCATAAGAGGGAAGGCTCAAATTGACTATATATACTGGGACCGAAGCTCACCAAGGTCTCGCTGGATGAGACATCAGCGACCTATCGACAATGTCATCGAGCATGGAAAGAAGGGTGGGTGGGTGGTGGTGGTGGTCATGGTGATGGTGGTGGTGGTGGTGGTGGTGGTGGTGGTGGGATCAGCATGACATCCAACAGATGGACAGTCGCCAACAATCACTACCCGGTGAAAGGGAGGTGAAGGCCCCATTTTTGGGGTAAAAAAACCCGGGTGCTGTATTTTTATATTTAAAAATCATTTTTCGGGTGTTTGAGGTGGTTGAGGGGATATGACATCATGATTGGACCCCCAATCGTTGTACCTGTTAATTGCCTCGGATGGGAGTCGGTATATAAAGTAGATACATTGTTGGATAATGTTTCATTATGAAGATGGTGATGATGTGGGGTGAAGATGGATTCTGATTTTGATATCTTACGGGCCTATGTACGTGAAAAGAGACTTCGCGAAGTAGAAGAACCAGCAAGAGAAGAAGAAGAAGAACAACAACAACAACAACAAGAAGAAGAAGAGCAAGAAGGGGAGGAAAAACAGTGTCATCATCTTAATCATGTTGTTCATGAAGGAAGATACGTATGTTCTTCGTGTGGACTTGTCATGGATGTGGTTTACTTACCTGAAGTTGATGTGCATCAGAGATGTAGTTTGATGAAGAAGCCTTATGCTGCACATGAGCGGTTATGTGGTGTGGATCGTCATCTTTTGCATTTTCTTTCGAAAACTGAACTCTTATCCGATCAGCTTCGTGTACACCCTCTTCGAGAGCAGATAAGTGCGATGAAGAAGTCCTGTTTATACAAGAGTCTAAACTATTCTATAGCATTATCCTGTATAGTATACGATACGAATGTGGATGCATTACGTAAACTACATTCCTACTTACCTCGTAGCAATGTGTCCTGGTTGAGGTTCAGTCGAATCATGAAACCTCTTCCTCAGCATTTTCCACTCCTATACGTACTGCATCTCATGGAGTCGACTAGGATGGTGTCTTCATTGCAACTGTCCACGTTGCGTTCGAATTTGCTGCTTTTATCTCCATCTGATATATCTCTTATGACATCATTGATTGATGCTTATTGCTGGGAAACCTATTCACTTGATCACGTGATCCAGAACATGCACACGTTTGACTGTGATCTTATTTCCATACTGTATCAGTTCACAAAGGTGGCGGTATCGTGTAAGGAACCTTTAAAATGAGATGGATTTTAGCGTGCACGATGCTGATTGGTCAAATATTTTTGGCGGGCTTGATTGACTGTATACTACTTTCTACTCCAATATCTCATGATAGTCATAAAAAAAAATTATAATAATAATAATAGCAACCACTACTTCGTAATAAAAAATAATAAAAATAGAAAATAAAACTTCTAAAGAACAAGTATGGGTGGTGTTGTGTCGAGTAATACGTCCACTGAAGAGTGCTGCCTTGCCTCTTCTGACTCTAGTATCCCCACTCCTACTAGTGGAGAATGGGTTGCAGGATGTGAAAAGAATGGAATTGGGAAAGATGAACCAGGGTGATCTCATGTGCACACCCATCAAGGAATACGATTTATTTGAGAAAGAAAATATTTCCTAACCTAATTAGTACAGTGTGTGCGTGTGCGAAGATGGCATACTGGGCTACGCATTTCCATAGGAGTGATGGTGACGAGGCCTCCCTCAAACACATGCAAAGCATGCGGAATGACATTGCCGAGATGCAATCGGTTGTGGGGAACGATGACACCGACAACACCTTGGTTCATGATGTGGAGAAACTGAAAGAGGAGAAAGCCGATGAGAGCAATGTGCAAGATGTGGAAAACAGATCTATGCGCTACACAGATCAAGCCATAGCAGCTGATGAGCTGCACGTTAAAACAGACGGATCCGTGCCCATGGATGCTAACCTCGACATGAACGAGCATTCCATCTGTAATTTGACGTACGACGATAGCTCTTTGACATGTGCTGTCCCTGCCGGTTGGGTGAAGAATGAAATCCGTCAATCATCATCAAGATTGCAACACGACATCGACGCTGTGCGCAAGATGAAAGGTCCTCGTGGTGATCGGGGATTGGGATGGCTTAGCGGAGGTGATATGCCACTGAACTCTGTAGGGAGAAACGGTGACTTCTATGTGGACGCAACCACGCTCATCTTGTACAAGAAATTCAGCTCGGAATGGAAGGCTTTCGGTCGGCTTCATAGATCAAGAGATGAAGCTGGTCCACGTGGAGAACGTGGATTGATCGGTCCTCAAGGTGAGACTGGACCTAGAGGAGCTGATGGACAAGGTGGTGAGCGCGGTCAAAAAGGTGATCAAGGAATACCTGGTCCAGAAGGTCCCAGAGGTAAAGTTGGACCACGTGGAGAACGTGGATTAGTGGGTCCTGAAGGTGAGAT